CACCATTCTGCACGTACCACGGATGCTAATATTTCTTCCTGCCACCACGTGAGCCGCTCAAGAGATCGCTAGCATGGACACTTCTTTTACATTATGAATTTGTGAGTTGTGACTTGTGACCACAAGATTGAGAGGATATGCGGCTTCAATGGACAAACACAAAGGTGATCCTACGAGAAGCTATTGCTCTTTTCTTCTCCCTTTTAGGGTCCCTTGAATCACAAGGGAGAAAAAACGGAGGAATAGGAAAAACATATGATTCTAACAGGAATTGAAGTGTAAAACAGAGGATTGCAAAACATAGGAAAAACACAGGAATGTTCGTTTGATTGGAGCGCAGGAATCGGACGAGAGAGATAGACTCAAAGGAAATTTTTCAAGAGGTTGGAGCTCTTGTTAAATTTTCTCCAAAATCCACATGCAATGTGACATTCCATAGGAATTTCATAGAATTTGGAAAGCTTCAATCCTTTGAATCAAAAAGCCAAATAGAAAAATTTTCTATAGGATTTTAATCCTATAAAATTTCTACATAAATCCTTTAATTCAAAGGGACCTTAGCCGGTTAGACTGGCTAGCTCGGCCTCATGCCCTCATCAGCTGCGCTTCTTGTTTCATTTGTGTACAGATTGTCCTGGACCAGTGGGTCGCGTTTCTGTCACTCCTACTCCACTGACCAGTGACCACTGCCCACGCTGACCTGCTGCTTAGCACTGTTTGAGCTGCTTATCTAGCGGGTAATAGCCCTTAACCGAGATGGTGGCTAGCTAACTACTAGGTTCTAATTGCCCATCCAAACTTGTCGGCAGACGAAGTCGTTGATATGAATCATAATTAAGTCGGTGCTAATGGAGGAGGGGACGCCAGTACCACGGGCTTGAATTTGACCAATGTTCTACTACCAACAGCAGTAGGGTGATTAAGCAGTGAAAAGTGGCAGTGTGACACTGTCGATTGAACCCCACTGTAGCAAAAAGGGCAGAAAAACTCACATGAACAGAGGAGCTGTAGAATTGATGATTGAACCAGGAAGCCAGAGAAAGTCATGGACGGGAAGCAGGAGCAATGCCTTTCTCTCGCTTCAGTGGTTGCATGGAGTTAAAAGGCATCAGACATGGCAGGTGTCACTGCCTGGGCACCGTAGTGAGAGTGAGACATGCCCAGAGGTAAAGAAAGCTAGCTCGAACAGGTGCAAGAAATGATCGCCACCAATCCGGCCCTCGGATGCTGTCCGAGTTAATTCTATCTGCAGCGTGATCTCCTTGCAGGGTTGCGTCGAGATCCTGCCGATCGCCATGGCCATGGCCATCCTTCCCCTCTCCAGAACTTTGCTCACTTCGGCCGCCATGGCCATCCTTCCCCTCGCCAGAACTTCGCTCACTTCCCAAAGAGGATGGAGGCTTGGAGCGGTCCAACCTGAATCAGTGCACCAACCACGGTGTGACGTAAGGAAGACAAACAGTGAAGACAAAAGCAATGAATTTGCAGGGAAGGGAAAAATCAATGAATTTGCGTTCGGATCTTCAGAAACACGATATTTTTATTCGAGGAACATCAATTTGTCATTTTTTAAAACACAGTACAAACAGACGTCCACGTGCACACTTATTTTTATGAACGCACACATCAATATACTGTCTCTATAAGCACCTTTGAAAAAATGTACTAGCATATCTTAAGATTATCAATTGTTCGTGGTATCAGGAATAGATCTCTCTTAATATTTGTTACCATGGTAATTGTGTTTATTGCCAGGGTATGACAACGGTAAGTGCTTGATAACTCTACCAATAAAAGGAATTTAAGCGAAATATTTTTTTAAAATAAATTTTGTTTGATTTTCTTGGTGTTCATTACGATAAACCGCACGGTTACTGGAACTAACACCACGGTACATTAAAAAGGCAACCACAATATGGTAACCTTGAGAAATAAATATATTCTTAAGGTGCACCTTACACATTATGGAAGTTGGCAATAGTAAAAAGTTTCTTATAGTGCACCTCAAGCTTACAACTAGTCATAATGAATAAAAAAGTATTTTCTCTCATTTGCTTTCTCTCTCCCCGCTATCTCAAAGAAGTTGGAAGCCATTTCATATTTTTATTTTGTACCAGTGCCCATGATACAAGATACTAAAGACTATATACATTATGCATCATAGCATTATACGTTGGCATTGCCCTAAACCATTCAGAACTCGTTAGAGTATGGACAACAAATGTATAGTCACTTCTAAAATAGGCCACGTGGCTACCACCACACATTAAAATAAGTTTTTTTCCACGATACACAATGATTTTAGTGTGTTATTAATTGTCACATGTGTCTTTGTCGCTATGTATTTCAATCCCCACTCGCCCCTCCCCACCCCCAACCCCCAATCCCCATTTATGTGGGAGTAAAAAAATTACACGTAACACCCTAAAAACCTAAAAATGATATAAATCCTTGCGTCACCCTTCTCCCCTCGTTAGCACACTCTTCTCTCTCCGTGCCTCTCCCCTCTTTTTCTCTATGCCGCTGCCTTTGCCCCCTCTCCTTTGACAAGCTCCTATGCAACAAAGGGTCATTGGGTTGTCTGTCCATCATTTGGTCTTTTCCATTGTTCTCCACCTGTCATCTCATCCTCGTTGTTGTTGGATGAGACGTAGAACTCGGCAGGGTGGCATGCGCCGATGGAGAGAAGCTCAGCAGTAGTGACGGGCTCAACCCCTCACAGATCAAGTGATGGCGTCAACCTCGGCGGCGGATCAAGCTTATATCATGGCAACCCCACTTTTCCTCTCTCCCCAACGAGCACAAATTGAGATGGTGTGGATTGGCGGCCGTAGTCGAATACCTCGATTGTGAGTCGATGACACGACATATGGGGCAATGACTTCAATTGTAGTTCGAGCAAAGACCTTGATGTATCTAGTCATAAGCTTGGCGGATTTAGTTGCGAGAACTCGCCTGGTTGCTCAAGTTGGTGTTTGATCTTCACTGTTATTTCCTCTCTCGTATTTTATGAGCCACACTTGAGATGATGTCGGATTAAGGTGGCATAGGGCATGAGTGGCCTCGCCCCTATCGAGACAAGTGTGCCCCCTGCAAGGCACCAAATTAATTTATTTTCTCTCTCTTCTCTATGGCTCTTTTTTTCCCTCAAGGTTCCCAACCTCGCATTTCTCATTTTTCAAGCTTCTCAAATTACTAAGCGACGTATTTTTTTTAAAAAAAATTCTATACAAAAGTTATTGTGAAAAATCATATTAATCCAATTTTCAAAAATTTTAAGCTAATAGTTAATTAATTATGTGTTAATTCATCGCTCTATTTTGCGTAAGAAGGAAGAGAAAGTACACAGCCTATATCCCGTTGCTGACGTGATCGAGCGTGCCCACATGTCACCGTGGATTACTGTTCATGCCTTTAGGATTTTACGGTATTTTCTGAGAATGTCACTAACGCCGTGTTTAGCTCCTAAATAATTCTTCAAACTTCCAACTTTTCCATCACATCAAAACTTTCCTACAAACATAAACTTCTAACTTTTTCGTCACATCGTTCTAATTTCTATCAAACTTTCAATTTTAGCTTGAACTAAACACAACTAAAAGTAAAAAAAAAAGTGAACTTCAGAAAACCTACGAGATACTATTCAACATGAAGTATTCTCACCGTCTTAAAATATAAGAGATTTTGAACGGATGGGACACTTTCTAATACAACAAGTCTAAATTTATTATACTCTGAAGTGTTTTATCTGTTAAATCTCTTATATTTTAAGACGGAGGAGTAATTACTTAGAAATCGGGTAAAAAGTGTTCCGAAAGTGTTCAATCTCTGCATTTTGAAAGTTGAAACAAGCCATGGCTGTCGTTAGCGTATGGCCTATGCAAGCACTTAATAGTCCTACTAGCAGTAGCGTGACAAAAGTAACTGCGCGCAGCGCACTGATGATCATCAATGAAGCATGGTTCCGTCGTACTCTCGTACACCTACTATTCCTGTCGTCCTCTCCACGAGTTTTATCATTACTACGCTGCGCAGAAATACTGAGTACTCCGTATAGCAATGTCCACTGCAGAGGTATTTATAGGTATATAGGCAGCAGAAGTAGCGTTATGTCTTGACGTAACAAGTCGTGCAATTGCTGCGAAACTCTACGAAATTCGGCGACATGCATGACCCTTGCTTTGGCTGTCTTGGAAATTACAAGTTTGTGTGTACAAAAAATTTTGATGTGATGGAAAAGTTAAACGTTTAAAGAAAAACTTTAGAACTAAATAAAGCGTTAGTTAAGGTAACACGACCAAGAAAATGACTGTTGTATCAATATGGCCCTGGTTAGATTCTAACTTTTTTTCTTCAAACTTTTAATTTTTCCGTCACATCGAACTTTTCTATACACCAACTTCTAACTTTTCCATTACATCGTTTCAATTTTTTAAAATTTTTAATTTTAACGTGGAACTAAACACAGCCTTTGGCTGTATAAATATAATGTCATGGTTTATCCTGATTCGTGACAACTGAAGAAGGGCACGGAGCAACAGGCTGCGTGCGCCGCGGCTGTGCGCCCCGACCAGCCGGCACGTACCAGGCAACCTCCCACACCTGTGTCGATCCAGGCAGGCCGAGCGCGACAAGCGTCAATGCACCGCACGGCCGTTCGGCGCGGCGCGGCCAACCCAAAAACACACGCGCCGGCGCCGCCTTCCCGCCTCTGATCCGATCCGAGCACATGACCGGATTACTCCCCCCGTCTCTCTCCATCCACGCCCGCACGGCCGCACACCCACCGCTCCGTCATCGTCATCCCGTCCACGACGCGGTCCCCTCCTCCTCCCGACGCTCTGCCGCCGGGTCGCCCACCTTCCCCCGTGGACCGCTCCGCTTCTGGTCCAGTACTACTACTACTGCCCCGCGACTGGATTTCCCCCGTGCGACCCCACCTCCCCACGCTGCGGTACACAACAAAAACCGGCAACAGCTGCCTGCCACGGCCAACGGGCCAAGCCCGCAAACGATAAAAGAGAAGATTCTGACCGCTCTGATGAGCGAAACCCTCCCTCGTCTCCTCCCCACTCCACTCGCTCCCTCCCATCAGCGTTTCGCTCTCGTTTCGTTCGGTGTTGCCGCGCGCGCGCGCGCCCGCATCATTGCGCCATCACTCTCTCGCTCGCGCTGGTCGCCCAACGCCACCGAACGCCATTATGGTGGGCGGATACTAGTAGCAGGAAGGGCGGAGCGGAGGGGGGAGAGGGGAGAGGAGTGTACGCTTGCGGCAGCGGTGTACGTTCGTACGTGCGGGCGTTGAGTGATGGGGTGCAAGGGGTCCAAGCTGGAGGACCAGGAGGCCGTCGCGCTGTGCCGCGGCCGCGCCGAGCTGCTGGCCGCCGCCGTGCGCCACCGGTACGCGCTCGCCGACGCGCACGGGGCGCTCGCGGACTCGCTCCACTCGATGGCCGCGCCGCTGCACCGCCTCCTCCTCCTCCAGCTCCAGGCCTCCTCGCCGCAGCTCACGCTGCCTACGGCACGCAAGGGCGGTCGTCCGCGGACCGCCGCCGCCGCCGCCACGTTGTCGCTTCCTCACGGCCGTTCGGCGCACCTCGACGACCTCGGGTCGCCGTCCGGATCCGAGACGGCCTCGCCGGCCGACTCGCCCCTCCGCGCATTCCCCGAGCAGCAGCTCCCCTACCCGCATTACGCGTACGGGTACGGGACGGGGCCCGCGTTCGCGTACCCGCCGCCTCCGGCGAGCTCCCTGCAGTTCTACTACGCGCGCAGCCGCCCTCCGCCGCCGTCGGTCGGCGTCGCGCAGCGCGCGCCGGTGTCGACGGAGCGCGTGTACTACGGCTCGTTCGACCCGACCAGCGGTTACCCGCAGTATTACGCCAACGGCGGCGTGCCGGCCACAGCCGCGCCGCAGCGGATGGCGGCTCCCGCGCCTCCTCGTTCGCCGCCAAGGGAGAGCTCCTGGGCCTTCTTGAACGTGTTCGCGAACTACGAGCCGTACGACAACTATTACTACGACTCCACAGCCGCAGCGGCCTCTGCCGCGGCGTACACGCCGAGCAGGAGCTCGCGGGAGGTGCGGGAGGAGGAGGGCATCCCGGAGCTGGAGGAGGACGAGGACGACTGCGTGTTCAAGGAGGTGGCCAGCGGCGGGTACTCGGCTGGGAGCGGCGGACACCGCAGCCGGCGCAGCTCGATTGGTAGCCTGAGCAGCGTCGCCGAGCAGGAGAACGCCGTCATTGACAATGACGTCGTAGCTAGCACCAGTGAGATATACCGGAGGCCACTGGCACACCGGAATGTCGCCATGCGCGCGCTAGCACAGGCAGCGCAGAGGGTCGCCGGCAACGGCGGCAATGTGGATGTTGCCGGGGAGATCAAGGCCCAGCTTGTTCGGGCAGCAGAAGCAACAAGGGAGCTCGCGCCATTGCTGGAGGTCGGGAAGCCGAGCTACCAAGAACACAGCCATGGTAAGCTACCACCTTTTCTATTCTTTTCTGTGCTGCATTATGTGCTGCATTATGTGACTTGCATTGTTAATTCTTTGGGGTTAGCTTCATCACGGCTGATGTCGTCAATCCCTGTGCCTAACTTGGGGTGCAAAGGCGTGGACTTGGTGGACATTAGAGGAGGAGGGGTAATGGTGGACTCGAAGAGCCTATCCTTGACACTGGAGAAGCTCTATTTCTGGGAGAGGAAGCTGTATGGTGAGGTCAAGGTATGCTCATCTTTGGGACATGATTTGGTGATTGATGATAATGTGCACCGAAATTAGGTGAAACCATAATGCTCGTACATATGCATTCTGTTTTGGTGTCAAACATATAGAGGTAATGCAGAACAAGTTACGACTCTGTTGCTCACAGTAGTGTCACTAGGTCCTCTGGTTTGTATCTTAAAGTTAGTTCTACGCTAGCTCTGGAACTTTGATAGTGTTTTATGTATAGTCCAAATGCCCTTCTGCTTGAACAAAAGTAACAGTATCTGAATATAGCATTGGCATCCTACTAAAGAATTTTGACCCCCAATTTCTTGAGATGTCACGCAATACATTACCTAACTTTCAGGTATCTAAAAGGTTGCAAATGCTGAAAAAAATGTGATATCCATCTGTTGCTAGTCATAGTGTTACTTGATTTGTTTTGCTGGTGGAGGAGCTTTGTTAGCATTTTCTTATTAATTGATCTTGGCATGAAAGGGTCCACTAGATTGTACCTGGTATTATGGGAATTGACTTTGCAGGCTAACGGCCAGATCTTAAGCACTCCTGTGACTAATAGCTAAAAATATAATTACTCTGTTGAGCTCCAACACCGTCTCATAGGTAGCTTGTGGAACCCAGAAAAACACATGAATATGGTTCTGAGGTACCTGTCGGTTTTGTTTCAGTGATGGGGATTTGGCATACTTTTTTCTTTTCTGTTTTGTGTCACAGTTTTATGCAATTATGACCTGCTGTAGACTGGTGCAGAAGAAGTTTGGTCCTGGATGGCGGCAGGTCCATTTAAGCGCTATGTCTAAGCTTTTCAGACCAAAATTCAGTGTAACTGGATAGTTTTGTTCCCTGGGATGCTAGGTTTATAGTTGTTGTAGAGCTGCTTCATGTGAACCAGCGTTGGCCATGTCCATGGATGTGTTCAACCCAATATCCTCTTTGCATAGTATTCTTACTGCTCTATTATATTTCTCTCGCAGGCCGAGGAGAAAATGCGTTTACTTCTTGCCAAGAACTCTAAACGACTCAAATTATTGGACCAAAGGGGTGCTGAGGCTCATAAGATCGATGCAACAAGAAATTTGCTGAGGAAATTGTCAACAAAGATTAAAATAGCTGTCCGTGTTATTGCCAAGGTTTCAACAAAGATAAACAAAGTGAGGGACGAGGAATTAGGGCCACAAGTTAATGCCTTGATCCAAGGGTATGTCCCCCTTTTAACTCAAGGATAGTTGCTCCTACATTTTTGTTAGGTTATCTTTTTTGTTGTTAATCTGAATGTTCAAATCTGATAGTTTCAGTAAAATTTCAAGTGTTACTTTGATGTTATGCATTGCGAACTGAATAAATTCAATGAACTGGGGGAAGGTCATGAATTAATATCTATAATTGTTGAATGAGTTAGATTCTTTCATATTGCACATTGAATTGTGAATAGGTGGTATTAAAAGGTTGAAGTACCTGGCTGCCTCTTAGCTGACTTCCCTCAATAACTTTCATCTATGTCTCATTTAGTTCCAGCCCTTTCTAACAAAGTGATAACACTTGATAACACTTTCCAGGTTTATCAAAATGTGGCAGTATAAGCTACACTCTTACCACACACAGTTTCAAGTGATCTCGGAAGCCAAAAACTTGGTTTCTGTCGTGTCACGTGAAAATGGACCTGATCTGGCAATGGAGCTTGAACTAGAGTTGATTAAATGGATCATCAATTTTTCGTCTTGGGTGAACGCTCATAGGAACTTTGTAAGGGCATTGAATGGATGGCTAGCACTCTGTCTTAACTACGAGACTGGGGAGACAACTTATGGGGAACCCCCTTATTCACCTGGAAGAATAGGCGCTCCATTGGTTTTTATTATCTGCAACAGATGGTCTCAAGCTATGGATCAGATTTCTGAGAAGGATGTGGTTAACGCCATGAAAGCTCTTGTGTCTAGTGTACAGCACTTGTGGGAGCAGCAAAATCAAGAAGAGGGTGAAGAACGAATCCTAGCAATCCGAGAAAGGGAAAGATGGATGAAGATGTTGGAAAAGAAGACGCTAGAGGTTAAAAGGGAAGCTGATGAATTAAACAAGAAGCTGGCCCTAGTACTGAGGCGGCAGAGTTTGCATCAGCGTCCAACAATGCAAACATACGAAGCCCATTGTGTTGAAGCAAGCAGCGTACATATAAATTTGAGGTTAGTTCTTCAAGCTCTGGAGAATTTTGCTGCCAACTCCCTGCAAGCCTTCCAAGAGATACTGAGGCAATCTGACAGCTGAAGAAGGTGAGGTTGTTGAGAAGACAGCATGAAAATGTGGTAGGCCGGAAGCAAGAAGAGAACTTCCAGCAGCAACCCGGTTTGTTAAAATTTTGAAGCCAACTCATTAGTCGGAAACCAGAGAATATGGATCAAAACACATGATACAGACGAGATGGTGAGCACGGTGACCATGCAGATGAAATAAAACTTGGATGGGCTTTGTACGAACATGGAGGCTCAGATGAAGGAATTGAGAATTTGAGATGAGGATTTTTGTGCTGTGCCGTTATAAATTTCTTGCCAGAATTTGGGGGCAGAAGAGATGAGGGTTGTTCTGTCCTGTGTTCAAGCACAGAGTTTACCCACTGGCTGGGTGAAGAACCTGGATGCCATGGTTACTTGAACACCACCAGAATACAGTAGTATGAAATGCGGTTCTACATTATGGGCTCTGCTTCTACCTAAAGGATTAAGGTACTGTTTCATTTTGGTGATGGGGGGCATGTACAATGACTGAAAGTAGTCAGCTGAACGTGCAATAGGAAAACTATTACTACCTCCGTCCTAAAATGTAGCTATTTCTAGCACAGTACTTTGTCCCAAAATGAAGTTATTTTTCTACCTACCTTCTCCTCTCAACCAATCACAAGCATTCTTTTTCACCTATTTTCTCTTTTCAACTAATCACACACCTTTTTCAATCATTCTCACCTACTTTCTTAATACCCGTGCCAACCTTAAAAATGCTTACATTTTGGGACGGAGGAAGTAATTGATGCACGGGTTGTACATAACTATATATTATGCTGTATTCGCAATGAAGTTTATGAAATAGTATTGCCACTAGGCATTAGTAGCTTGCTCAACGGTGCACGTACACTTTAAAAGGTTTTGTGTGACGCGCTTGCAGCCACGTTGAAACAACAAAGTACGTCGTACATACAGCATAATGATTTGGTCCCAGTTTGGAGTTCTGTTTCTATTGAATCTGTACCGATCCCAATCGTAGATGCACCTGCCTACATGATCCAACAGAAAAGCAACGAATAACTCTATACGCGAACAAATCTACGTCTTTGCAGAAGATCCATTAATTCATACGGAGAATCAGTACAGCTAGCTTACTTGAATGCTGCGTGCATCCATGGATGATGGATCCGCCTTGATTCCTCAAATCAGGCGTCAACTTGACCGTGCGCTGATCAGCCGATCACCGAATCCATCCACAGGACGCACAATCCGCTGTACCGCACGTAGCACGTAGGTAGGCGGCCGCCGGCCGGACGGACGGTGGAGGCGAGCAACTAACCGGCCAACCGGTGCCGGCGGCACATCAAGGCGTCGGTGCGGCCGGGCAGACAGAGAGGGGATATCATGGGCGGGCCCGGCGCGACGAGCGAGAGCCGAGCCCGAGAGGCATACGCACCGCGTCAGATGTAAAGCCCAACTGAGAAAGAAAGCTCGGTGGAAGCGCTGGGCCCATCCGGAAATGCTACTGGGCGAGCGCCCAGACCGATCGGGTAGCCCCCGGGGCGCTGATTAGCGAGCAGTCGCGCCCCCCGCGGCGCGCGCAGTCACTTCTCCTCTCGTAGTCTCTCTTCTCTACGGCAATGCATATACGTATGTATATACTATATATACTTGCGTATAATTATATATATATATATATATATATAATTTTAATGTAAAAAAATATACACATGTATATAAAGTTTGTGTGTACATATAAAAAACCTAAAAAATACGTGTATACAAACTTTATATATGTATACAAACTTTGTATACGTGTATAAAAAATTGGTAATACATATGTATACAAGCTTTGTATACGCGTATACAAAGTTTGCATATGCGTATGCAAACTTTATATACGCGTATACAAAGTTTGTATTTGTACATATACAAAGTTAGTATACGTACGTATTAAAAAAACAGAAAAAAAAACGAAAACAGAATGTACGGAATAAAAACAGAAAAGATAAACCGATAAAAACGGAAAAAAAGGAACATGCGCTAAAAAAAAGCGGAAAGAAGAAACAGTAAAAACGAGAAAAAAAGGAAACCGCACGGAATTGCGAAAAAAAAAAATCAGCACGCAGCGCCGCCGCCCGCGCCCTCGTCTGCTGCTGACTAGTGCCCTCGCCTCTACGTCTGGTTTATACAGCTACCACTACTGATGGACATCATCGTCTTCCATCGCCGACTGGTTATGCCGCCGCCGACTGGTGCTTTTATCTTCACAATTGCGCGTCTTCACTACCGGTTTGCTTCTGTTGCCGCCGACTCGTGTTCACTTCATCACGGCTATGCAACTTTGTCACCATGGTGGAGCAACTTCATTTTTATAATCTTCGGCATCGGCAAACTCTATTGCCTCTACTTCGCAAGCTTTGCTACTTCACCAACCATGACGACTACAAGAGTTTCGACACCTCGGCATACGTCACCAAATATGATGCCGTGTTATTTTATTACAACAAGTGGTGTTTCAATCTTCAATATTTATCTTCACTCAAGCAATGACTACTCGACGACAAGAAGTTACAGTTCTCGACTCTATGTTCAGTTGTTTCCCTTCACCTAGTTTTTTTTTTGGCACCGCATTATTTTTCTATTTTAGTAAATTTATACACCTAAAGTTTATACACCTCAAGTTTACACATCTAAAGTTTAGAGACCAAAAGTTTATATATCTGATTTAAATTTGAATTTGAATTCAAATATTTTTTATATATAGTATTTCTATACATCTAAAGTTTATACACCTAAAGTTTATAGACCTAAAGTTTATATATCCGATTCAAATTTGAATTTGAATTATATCCGATTCAAATTTAAATTTGAATTAAAATATTTTTCATATATAGTATTTCTATACATCTAAAGTTTATAGACCTAAAGTTTATATACCCGATTCAAATTTAAATTTGAATTCAAATATTTTCTATATATAGTATTCCTATACATCTAAAGTTTATACAACTAAAGTTTATAGACCCAAAGTTTATAAGTCAAAAGTTTACATACCCGATTCAAATTTGAATTTAAATTCAAATTTTTTATACATAATTTTTCTAACTTTTGTTTTTTTAAAATTTTGTTGTAGTGTAATGTAATAAGAAAAGAAGGGGAGGAGGAAGGGGAGAAGGGAGTGGGGGACGGGACCAATCGCCCGCGATCGCCCTGGCGATCGATTGCCCATTAGGCCCCCCGGGCCCATCGAGCCTGGTGCCCAATGGGGAAAGAAGGGCTTCTCCCCCATCGGCGCCACGCACGCGGAGGCCCAATGTGTAAGTCCGTTCTCGAACGCCTGGCACGATGTGGCGTGAGCTGTGAGCACATCATCCACCATCACGTATTTCACGTGAGAGCGTGCGCACGCGCGGGAATTGCAGTTGGAGAGATGGGTAGCATAGCACGGCGCGGCACGTACGCCGAACGGCTGGCTTACCGGTGAGCACGCACCACGCCAGGGCCGGGCGCGAGGACAGTAAGCAGAAGCAGGATGGCCGCCATGGCGGAGATGGCGTGGCATCGGCACGGCACCGGGGGGTTGGTGGTAGGGTGGGGGAAAGAGAACAAACGTGAGGTGGTACTATTGTAGCAGAGTTTGGCGGCGATCGGAAGAGGTCACAAGAACAGCAGCCAGCAGGCCGTCCCAGGACCCCAGTCACCCAGGTCTGGGCCAGAGGTGGAGATGTACGTCAGTCCATCCCCTTCTGTTTCTTCCAGACGGATGCTACTCCCTTAGTTTTGCACTGTTTATTTTTAACATTTGACCATTTATTTTATTTGGAACTTTTTATGATTAATTATTATTTATTGTTATTAAATGATAAAACATACTGTGTGATTATTTTTTAAATTTTTTTCATAAACTTTTTAAATAGACGGATGATCAAATGTTGGTCATGAATACCCACGGCTACACTTATTTTGATTCGAAGGTAGTAGCTATTTCCTCTATCCCATAAAATAAATCGGTATGTGATACATCCTCTATCTATAATTCAAGTATTAGGACGTAAACATCCACTCAAGTTTCAAGTCAAAAATAGCAGTTCAAGAAACCAATAAGAGCATCTCCAGCAGTAGCACCTACTTTCGAGTCCCTAAAAGTTAAATGGGGGCTGCCCTCAATGTTTTAGGACCCTAAATATGTCTTTATGTCTAGCAGTAGCCTCCATATCTTAGCCCCTATTTTTTTTCTCTTTTATTTTAGTATAGAATTTATATTTATATCTAGTTTAACACATAGTAATTTAAACATAAATAATTCTAGCGCATGGAATTCAACCATATTCAAATTTGCAATTTCAAACACCACGATTCAAAATTGAATTCAAAATTTTCAAACATGAAAATGATATATCCTAGAAGCAAATATTGAACATAACCCACACATGATAGAAAATGCAATGAAACAAACTACCGAGCACCATGAAGCGCCCACAAATGTTCCACAAGATCATCTCAAAGTTGCTCATGTACCCGTCGGTCTTCAATTTCTTTATGTATCTTTAGAAATTTCTCTAACACAGGTTTATTACGTCGTTGGTATTCCTCCTTCCTCAACACCTCACTGTCCTCCTGATCATAGTCAAAATCTACATCTTCATCTCGCTCATTGTCAATGATCATGTTGTGCATGATTACACAAGCTGTCATTATGTACCATAGGGTCTCTGTATCCCAAAATCTAGCAGGACCCCTCACCATTGCAAAGCGGGCTTGTAGAACACCAAATGCTCTTTCAACATCCTTTCTCACTCCTTCTTGAACTTTTGCATAATGTATTCTCTTGTTACCTTGTGGATTAGAAATGGTCTTCACAAAAGTGGCCCAAGAAGGGTATATGCCATCAGCAAGATAGTAACCCATGGTGTATTTATTTCCATTCACCATAAACTCCAACTCTGGAGCTGTCCCTGATGTAAGCCTTTGAAAGAGTGGTGATCTCTGTAGTACATTGATATCATTAAGAGAACCTGGTAGTCCAAAGAAGGAATGCCAAATCCACAAATCTTTAGATGCAACAGCTTCAAGAATCATGGTTGGCCCATCCACATGCCCTGAGTATTGTCCTTTCCAGCCTGTTGGGCAATTCTTCCACCTCCAATGCATACAGTCAATACAACCTAGCATCCCTGGGAACCCCCTTGGAGTGTTTATAGCCATCAACCTTGTAGTGTCCTCAGCAGTTGGTGCCCTCAAGTATTGATCAGCAAACACATCCACCATAGCCTTGACAAAGTGCTTGAAAGCTTCTATCATGGTGCTCTCTGAAATCCTCACGACTTCATCAAGACTATCGGCTGGAATATCATATGCAAGCATGCAAATTGCACCATACACCTTCTGCAATGCAGTGGCACCGAGAAGACCCACTGCATTTGGTCTCTGCCTGAAGTAGTCATCATGAGCCTCCACACTAGCCACGATGCGCAAGAAGAGCTCCCTTGACATTCTGAACCTCCTCCTAAATAATTTTGCACTATATACAGGAGGATCTGCAAAATAATCAGCCACTATGCGTAAATTGCCAGCAAACCTGTCCCTATGAATTATCTCACGACCTGGGACTGAACCACGACGCTTTCTTTTGGTCCTCTTATGCTCTATGTCTGTAAGAAGAGCAGCTGCAATGTAGTAGTCATCATCGTCAGACAACTCCTCCTGATCCCACCAATCGGTAATGAGATCATCGTCGTCGTCATCGTCGTCGTAGAAGTGCATGTAAAAAACACTGCCATCACAAGATCATAAAATTAATAAGAAAATTTAGAGCATATGCACACATCCAACTACACATACACGGTACAGAGTATACCCCATATACAGTATGCAACATTCAATCTATGAAAAGCAGTGGAATCGTACTAGTACAGTACCACTTACTCCTGTATATATATATATATATATATATATATATATATATGGTTCTAATCGATCCATTGCAACAATTGTACAGTGCTACTAAGTATAAATACAGTGATATATTCACCGTGTTTAGATCCAGTTTTTCTTCAAACTTCCAACTTTTCTATCACATCAAAACTTTCTTACACACATAAACTTCCAACTTTTTCATCACATCGTTTCAATTTCAACTAAACTTCTAATTTTAGTGTGAACTAAACACAACCATTACTAGCTGAGAATTTAGATTTTTCTTGCCGACAAAGTCCACTACAATTCTCCAAAAAAATATTAAAAACAAGTCAGTCTCCACCAGAACCATCTACCACCACATGTCCACAAGTGTCAAGAATAGAGTTATTCAGAAAATTGATTAGTACTCTACCACTGAACCCCCGCACCACATGACCTACTTAGAGTTTCTCCAGAAAAATCAATGGGGGCAGGAGGCCAGCGTGGGGGCAGACGGCGTGTAGGTGGGCGACGTGTGTGCGGGCAGCCTCGGAGGGCACGCGATGGCCGGCGTGTGGCCAGGCAGATGGCGGGAGATCGGCGGCCGGGCATGCGCATGGACTGCCGCCGAAGGCCTTGAGAACGGCGGGCAAGAAAGGTATGGAAAAGTCTTACCTTTCTGGGGCAGTCTTGACGGAGGTGCTGGGAATTCGTCGGTGCTCGCCGAAGAAGATCCGTCGTCGCAGCCGTGCGGGAATAACAAGAAAATGCGCGAAGCAAAATTATATCCGCGCCAAAAAAATGACGATGGGGCGTGCTCCGGAGTCCCCAGGACTGGGGCCTTGGGGGGAGGATTTGAGGGCCTCCTCACTTTGGGGGCTGTAGTAGGGTCCTTGCTGGATCTAGTTTTTTTATCTTAACTCTCAAAAATCGAATAGGGGCTGGATTTGAGGTCCCTGCTGGAGATGCTCTAAGACAACCAGCAATAAGAAGTCTTGGTCTCTCCGCACTCCGCACAATGAATATAAACACAAATACGCCGCTGAATGCCTGGGGGGTGGGGGGGGGAGAAGAAATTGGTGAAGGTAGGTGGTCTTTTCAGTAAAAAAAAACTACTATACCAAAACTGGAAAATATATGTAAAGTTCCTCCTTTTCTTTTTTTCCCTTTCATTTAGGTGTCATGCTATGTACAAATTTCACGGGAGCAAAAAACCTAAAAGTTACATCCACTTGTTGAAAGAAAGAAAAAACAAGGGTAATAAGAAAACGCATACCAAAGGACAAAAAAAAACCAAAATAATACTATAGCATCTATTTATGGTACACAGGTAAAATATTTGAAAGAGTAAAAAAGGAACTAAAAAGTCTTCTTTGCCTCTCAGCATTCGCAGGAAACTAACACAGCACTGTACAATTTTCTTTGCGCATACCGAAGGTCTGTTTCTGCATTAGCAAGACACAGAACATTAGAGTGCTGAAGTACAAGTCTAATAGTACACAAATGATAGTCAGCCACTCTGCCTAGTTTGATTCAACTTGTCTCATTTACCGCAAATTTGTTCATAGCAAGTACTTGTCATTACTCATTATTGCCGAATACTATGATCAAAAGCCTATCTTTATGACCTTAACCAGACATGAATATATAAATGCATAGTGCATAATTCTTAATGCATCAAGTATTCAAGTGTAACAAATTCACTAATTTTGTATTTACCTGTGTTCTCTGTAAGAAGCCCACACTGATTTCTACAAGTCTCCATAAAAAAACGGAGAATATAAATTACGCTGCAGCTTCTCTCTGCTAAAAACTTCACCAGCAATCCAGTTTAGCTGAAAAACCTAATTCTGATACTATCCATTTTACATGTCTAGTCTGAGACCATGTCCTCCAATTCATGCATGTCTGAATCAGTCTCATTTGAAGAATCCCTTCCCAAGGGTGTATTCTCGCCGTAGTCCAGATCTCTCCAGTCAAACTCACCATCATTAGCACGTTTCTCCATTGCTTCCCCAATCCGATTACTTGGATGAGGCTTACTATGCCCACTTCTTCCCTTTGTCTTTGCGCAAATACAGTCCATAGGGTGCTCATGGAATTCACCTCTTCCAGGTTTTATCTCATTGGGCTCCCCCATAAATCCCTTCTGAAGTGTCTGAACTTTGGACGAAAATGTTTCCCAACTCATGCTGGTTCGATTGAGAAAGAGTGAGTAAAGCTTCTTGGCATTGGGCCTTATGGTCCTCTTGTGCCCAAAATACCTCCTGAAATTCAATTTTCTCTTCAGAATATGACCAGATGTACCCAAACTATTTCTGAGAAACGGGTAAAAACATTACCTTCGACCAGCCAACATTCTGGCCATGTTGCCGTTGTTATTTGTCACAAATACATCACTCTTATCACACACAATATAATCAAGCGCTGCCATGCGAGATGAAAATGAGAGGAAAGGCGCCAACTCCTCCTTGCTAGCTAGAGTTTCCTTTGAGTGGAAGTTTGGGAAGAGCGCTTTCAGAGGTGCCAGCGTCTCCTCTCCACCATACACCTCACCTGATGCAACATATATGTGCACATCCTTCCCAAATCCCAATGCTCGGAGCATGAGGCCAACCTCTTCTGGTGTGAGAGGGCACTTACCGTGCCTACGTTCTCTGTCAGGGTTGCTTGCCTGCATATAAATTTTCAAATGTGTTAATGTAAAAAAACTGAGGTCACACTTCAATAAACATAACTAGGGGATATTCTCTTACATGCAGTGTCTTCCATCTCTTACGGATTGCACCGAGTTCTCTTCTCTCAATTTCCCCACCTCCAAAGTAGCAACCAGAGAAGGCGAGCATGTCAGGCTCAAATCTGTCACAGCATGTGTGGATTAACAGAGTTTGTGCCATGCATACTATATAAAAACACAAAATTTAGGCAAGAAACAAAACCTTAGGTGAAGGGCAATGAAGCGTCCACTTTTGGCTCTCATTCTTTGGACAAGCATTTCGCCCATCTTAAGAATTGGATCTGTGAACTGTAGTGCATGATAATTGACTCTGCACCTAAGCTTTTGAAGGTTAGTCTCCAACCTATTGGAAACCCGGTAGTCAAATTTGGTAAGCTGGACAACCTGCATGGACAGAAATGCAGTAGAAACAATCATTATTAAGCATTTCTAGCTGAAAATTCCAAATATAGAAAGCACAAATTGTACTTACATGTTTTTTCAAAAGGGCAGGTAATACTCGGTTCTCATAGCATTTTGCAGTACACTTCCTAGGAATACGCATTTTGTAAGGATATGGTGTTTTCCCATTCCTGTCAGGTACTTGCCGTATGATCTTTACATCGTTTGAGAGTGAGGATATGAATGACTCAACATCAAAAATATCCGCAAAATCACTGTGATACAGAACACAAAATCAGCAGAAGTTACTTCACTAAATTAACCAAGACAGGGTAAAGATTGTGACCTTGCATCTTTCCAGAAGGATTTCTGATCCAGGTTGGGAATGACAAGTGTTGCATTCAGAATACGGGCTGCAACAACAGCATCTATGATCTGAAAACCACATAAGTAGCATTCTTTGAGAGTCATTTATGGGTTGAAGAATATTTGACCCAAAAAAAGGCAATTATTGTGGAAAAAAAAAACATGATGCACCAACAGGCGAATTTCTTCCAACTTCATTTCTCTATTTACTAAGGACCAACATAAGCACTCGAACACAGCCAAATTAATTTCTCCGAATGCAGTCTAGCACTAATTAACCATGGAAACTCGGAGCAGTAAATAGTAAAATATGAAACAACTTAAGTCACGCAGGGCATTCAAAAGAAGTTTAAGAGTATACTAAGAAAAGACAAGAGACACACGGATGCAGTCACGCAGCGTATCAACAAGTTGTTGGGAGTGTAACCAACTGCCAGCCGATCATATCAAAGAGCAGTTGGGGTGAATTACTGATTAGTACTTGCTGGACGCGTGCAACTGAAGAAACGGATTTGGAGCTAGCTACAACAGTATCAGCATCACTACAAGTTCCCGAGTCTCACACTGCTATACATAAGGTCACAATTCTGCCACTAAAATGCTCCCCAAGCAACATAAAAATTCAGACGTTTTACGTTTCCACTGAAATAACAAGATGATTTTACTTGTCGCGTTGTTCAGCCAATCAAAAACTGAACATTTCTCGATTACCAGTTCGTAACTTCGTACAGTATGATCTTACCCCTGTTCGCTGCTGGTTCAGGCCGCCGCTCGTTGCGATCATCAGATACCGATTCGGCTCCGTGACGGCCTTGGCATCTGCCGGACCATAAAAAGGCGAGCTTTATTGCCACCAAACATGAACAGTGTATAATTCTGGTCTTCTCCCGAACAAAAACTTTCGTACACGAAAACAAAACCAAAAGGTTTGCAAGTAACGCATACCGGCGAACGCCTTGGTCGCGTTGCTGCAGCCGAAGAAGTTGCTGGCCAGTTTCGACGCCCAGAGCTCTTCGCCCAGCTTGCTCCCGCCGCTCTGCGGAATCCAGAATCAGTTAGGCGAATTGGCGATTCACCAATATCCACAAGCAACAGAAGAAAACAAGCGAGAAATTCCTGCACTCACAGGAACGGCAAAATCGACGGTGCCAACTACATTTCGGCGCAGCTCGCTCGGCTTGTTCAACTGCTCCGAGAAATAGGAGGGGGGGAAAGGACAAGAAATAAATCAAACATTAATAATACGAAATGGAACCAGATGAAACCGGAGGCGAAACCCATTGCATGAATCAACGACTTCCGCCATCCGAAATCTACGCTTTATGCGGGAGATGTTACCAGGAACGGCGGGTTCGGTCGCCGCACAACACGGTGGCCGCCACCCCCGCCGCCGCCGCCGCCGAGCGGCGGCGACAGGAAGCAGTGGAAAGCGACGACGACGAGCAGCAGTCCCGCCGCCGTGAACGCCGCCGCGGCCGGCGCCACCGCGGGCACCACCCACCTGCCGTGGTGCTGGTGACGCCGCCGCCTCGTCCCCATGCGCCCCTCCTCCTCCTCCTCCTCCTACGCACGCACGCACGCGCTCGCCGGCGCGGCGCGCAGCTCCTCCTCCTCCTCCTTCTTGGCTGGCTGCGCCTCGTGCTCTTCCCGCCGTTTTTGATCGAGCGCGCGCGCGTTCCGATGCGCGCGGATTCGCGGCAGAGAAGAGAAGCGAAGCGGACGGAGGCGGTGGCGAGGCGAGCTCAGTTGGGTGGCAACAAATTGGAAAGCAGGTAGAGAAACCAAACCAACACGAGAGGAACTTATACACAAATAACGAAAACCTAAGGGCCAAAGTGCAAAAGTTTCCTTGTGTCCCAGTTAAAAAAAAAATAGGGGAGATCAGAGCGAATCTTCACCGATTAGCCATTTGTTATTTCGTTTGTCTGTTCGTTTTGGATCTAAGCCAGAGTTAACTATAGTGATTATTCGGTTTGTTTTTTTGTGTGATGCTTGCATGAACCGATCTGGCTTCTTCTGCGTGTGTCTCTTAGCTACTACACCGAGGAACATGCCGGTGTCCACTGGTAGGATGAGGCGATCAAGCAATATCCGCTAACTTGACGGGGGCATTCCGCAAAAAACTCTCCTGCTCTTCCGCCGCATAATGGTGAGATTACATGGATTTATTTATTTAACCGCTGTAAAAAAAAGTCCACTACCAGCACAATTAATTAATTAAATTATGTGCTCATTAATGGTGCAATATGCTATTCATCAGTGTTTAATTCGCTAGGAGTAAACCGATCGATTTAATCATCGCAGACTGCAGCACACGACGTGCAAAACGTGCAAGTTGCGTTTTCTTTTATTTCACTCGTAATAACAGTAGAATTCGTGTTGCACGAACAGTCCATGTGATGGCTGGTTCAATGGCTGTACGACTGCTTAGATAATCCGAGCAAGCAAACCTGCATCCGATTTGGATGGATGATTCGTCCCTGACTCGCCTTTCCAACCATGTGTCACGCAAAAAAGGGCGCGGGAAAAAGGGGTTGGTCGCTCTGATCAGGTTTGGCACATGAGCAAAGATTTTTTTTTTCCGCACATCTCAACATAACAGAAAGAATCATATTTCAAAATTGAAGGGAAAAGATTACAACACAAAGAAAAGGTGTTTTGAATTTTGTAATGGATAGATATGCTCTATAGCAGAAGAAAAGGAGCAAACGTTGCAATACACGAGTTTCACATTAATACCATTCTTGCACAGAAAATTTATGAAATTCACTCTGGAAATGCAATGCTCACGAGTTAATACTAATCCCAACAACTAATAAATATTAGTAGAAATTTGTTCAATACATGCTCTAGACTGGCCAACCCCTAGTCTCAAAATTCGTATGGGGTTTAGTATAGTCAATGTACAGTTAGCATTTCAGCAGTCTAGTCCCCTGCCTTTACCAGTGATGAGAATAAACCTGGCTAGAGTAGAGGTTAGTTTAGAAGATCTGCATGTGATATCGATGGCGGCATGCATATAAAAGTTTGTTACTACTCACTAGTGTGTGGCCAAGCATATAGTGGGGCTAAGTAGACCCTAACAAACTGGACACAAAGGGGCAAAAAATTGACGTGTGGCTGGGTTGATTAGAAGAGAAGTCTCAATCAATCTCTAATTTCAACCAAGCTGGTCCTACCCCCATCAAGTCATGAAAATTTTTCAGCTCTTCTTTTTTTTTCTCCCACTGTGTTTGAGCAATAATTGGCTTGGGCAAAATTCTCTTTTTATGTAGGATCAAAATCATCAAATCCTTGTCCTCCATGTCATTGTATATATTGACTTGATCTTTCTCACTCTTTAATTTACCTCTTCTAGATGAAGCAACCAAGAAATCTGGCGCACTGATTTGGTCACGGTCTCAGACATTGAAAAGAAAACACTAGAATATTATTTTTCAAAAGGGGATGCTCTAATTAGTAATTAACATGGCTTAGAGGCTAGGGTGTTCCCATGATCTGCAGTATCAACGGCTAAACAAAACATCCATTACTTAAAAGAGAAGCTCAGTTTAGCTGATCAAGTAGGAGTATCATTTTTTCCCCCAAGGTTCTACCAAAAAGTCTCATAAAAATGAATTGGAATATCAAGCAGCTGGATGCATGATCAGTAGAAAACAAAAATAACCTCGGCTGAATATATATGTATATATGATTGCCATAAATTATTAATTATTTGTTTGTGTGTGATGAGAAAGGGAAACGCCAACAAACTACATCTATATGATTATAATTGACAATTCGGCTGTGCCCATGTGTACGTGATTACCTGTGGCCATGTGTACACAAAATTATTCTCTAGCTAGCATGCACTTGTTTACGGCCACCCTTTTGAGTTGGCCAAAACTCCATTCAATGGCTGTCTGGTGTGATTCGGGACCCTTTTCCTCCCGTGATAAAAGCCCATTTGGTTGCTAATTAATCAAAACAGGGATGATATGGAGAATTAATTAATGTGCTGCACTTGATGCCTAATTAGAACCATCCATTTGGTCCTTTCCATGGCACCGGCGCCGGCGTGGATACTGAACTTTTCTTGATTTCTTTGGTCACACGAGAGGACGAAGGGATATTTGGGGAGTGCAGAGGTCGGTGGTCTGATGGTCTCTGTCTCTCTCTCCCTGAATCCTTGTGCAAGTGTACACCTGTAACTGAAAAGGCCAGTAAGTACTGTACATGATGATCTGGCAACATCACTAATCACCGAAACGTAATTGCTGCTACTAATGCATAGTACATGATACTGTCAAGCGTGCTCACTACCAGCAGCAACGTACCATTGCCTGAATTCAGGGGGTGCCCATCGTACTGTACTCTAACATCACTTATTTTCGACCGTAGGGAGTACAGTACTACAAGTACAAGCAACATATTCCCATCTTCCTAAAACACGAGCATTATACGTGGCAATATGGTTCCTTTTTTTTTATTAAGATGTAGAGTAGATTCTATCTTAATTTTTATTAGTACGTTTGTCAAACCACTAAACGATATATTTTGTATGAAAATTTTCTATATAAAAGCAGCTATAAATTATTAAATAAATTTATTTTTAAGTTTGTAATAATTAAAACTTAATTAATAATGTGCTAATGATTTTTCCGTTTTACGTATCCGACCTTAATCTTCATACATGTAAAAGGGGCCCCGCTACTACTATGCCGCAGTCTTCAGTTCTGCACGGCAAAGCAGAGAGGGACAGAGTGTGCAACGGTTGATGAAGCACAGCAAAATGGAATCCGAATCTCTTTTTTGCTCAGCAACCAGCAGTCACAAGCTCACGGCCAAGAGGCGAAGAGACAGAGCAGGCCGTGCGCCCGTGCCACCGTGCGAGGCATCCGCTGGTTACGTGCGAATCGGATAAAGCGGAGGCAGTTAGAGTACTACACATGCTGCTGAACCAGCACGTTCTGTCTCGTTAGCTATCAGCCGTTTTTAATTGTACATCGGTTTTTAGTTTTGAGTATATCTATCTGGCTGAAGCCACGAATACCAAATTGCCAACGTATACAGATTTCCAAATTGCCGTGCACGTGACTGCGTGAGCACTCTTGGTAGGTGAAGGCGTGAAGCTGCTGAGACTGAGAAAGTGAGAAGTGAAAACAGCAGATCTACTACAGTATTGTAAAGTGCAGCACTCATCAGTCATCACAAGGGGGTAGTTAGTAGTACTGGCAGTACTGCTACTGTAGTAACTAAACAGAGGGAGACCATCAAAGCAGCATGCAAATGTTCAACTAAACAGGGAAAATCTTTGATTAGCTAGCTAGCTAGCTTTAGGACATGTGCTTCCTTTTAATCTCCTCTGTTATTTTGTCTGTCTCCAGCATGATCTGACATAAATAGACTCGGAGATCATTTCCCTTTCCCCATTGGCAGAGCTTTCGTCCAACAGCAAGGGCGGTCCATCCACAAAGCTTGCTACCAACTCCAACTGACCAATTTCCATGCAACGAGAGGCGACGAGCCGGCGAGGCCCATGGCTGACTCCGACTGAAAGCAAGCAACCTACCAACCGCTGTATTATTATCATCAGTACGTAGTACGTAGTAGTACTAAACATGCCTAATCTACGGAAAGGGATAGGATACGTGCTCGATAAGATCACAAGAACAGGAGTGGAGCATATGCAATTATGCATCATCATCATCCGAGCTAGTAGCACCCACTCGCCGATCAATCATGGAGAGGCAGCTGAGCTGGATTTAATTTACTATACGGCTTAATAATGTTAAACCCAACATCACAAACGATCGAGTAACTTCTACAGACTGACAGGACATTGCACAGGTGTCGTCTCATCGTAAGCAGCTTCATTAGAGCAGGTACAATAGGTACCCATACGCTGGCTATATCATACGTGGAAGATGGAAAAGTAGAGAGAGAGAGTGTGTAAAACGGCCGCTAGTTTTATCGCCGGCTTGGCACAAGCTCTAAACCTACATGCACGTGGGTAACACAGGCTTGCTGAGAGTAAAAGGCTGAAATGGCGGGCCCTACATATAATAAAGTAAATTTGTTTTATAGCAGATGGGCCAACGCTTTTTGTACTGATTGGCTCTTATATTACCTGCAGATGATGTGTATGAAATTAGAGCCGGCAACGTACTGCACTATTAAACTTGCTCTTAGTACTACACCTCATCAGTAATCACTGCAGCGAAGTGATCGAACCAAACCAAACCAAAAGCGAAAGCCCAAATGATTCGCGAGGCAGAGCTGACGAGCATGTTGGGAGCACATGGGGGGAGCACATGATACAGTGGCTTTGCCTGGGGCCGGAGTCATTTGTTGGCTTGGCTACCCACAGCCGCCTCGACCACACTGCAGGCTGCAGGTCTGAAGCATAACGGCCTCGCTCTCGCAGTCGCAGCAGCAGCAGCTTTGCTTGGAGTGGAACCAACAGGAGGGCGATGTCTGATGATTGTGTTGTTGTTGTGTGTTGGATGCGCGAGGAGAGGGACGAAGTGTCAAAGTTGATTGGGATTTTGGAAATCAACTGTTAGATGGTGACACTGGTTTCTGAATTCTGATAAGGTTAGCTTAATAATCATACTTCCTCCGTTTCACAATATAAGTCATTTTAGCATTTCCCACATTTATAATGATGCTAATGAATATAAATAGATATATATGTCTAGATTTATTAATATAAATATAAATGTGAAAAATACTAGAATGACTAACATTGTGAAACGAAGAAAGTATAAGATAACAAAAAATCAGGAAAGGTATCGAAACCACATCTTTGTTACGTTATCAGTTTTGAAGCTAACAGAGACGGAAGTATGGGATAAGTATGATTAACCAAGAGAATTTGAGCATTGCTATACAGTATATGGAAGCATCGCATACGGAGTAATCTTTTTCAGCTTTGCTCAAATCTCCAGCACAACATAGGAGTAACAGCTGCTGTACTTGGCATTTCGTAGTACTACATCAGTACTACTCCGTACATGGAAGCAATACGAGCTTTTTGATGAGCTTCTCAGATCTCCAACATACTGTTCTACTGTACTCCGTAAACATTTCATCATCTGTAGCATTTCATCATCTAGGCGTAGAACTACTACTCCTATGCAACGCCCTGAACCAGTAAACTGAAGGGGGACAGAGTCCAGCTTGGCAGTGGATCGCGGGGAATGATGTAGCTGACAGACAGGTGGGCCCCCACCCCCACCAATGGTGGGCAGGAGGCATAAGAGCAAGTATATAGTGAGCTATAAGCCTACTATAAATTTACGTAGAGAAGAGAGGTAAATAAAAGAGAATGATATTGGCTCTCATACAAGATTTAGCTTAACACAAGCTCCAAGACAAACACATTAAATATATAAGTGAGAGATAGAGGGAGGAGAAGAAAATTATAGCCAACTTATAGCTAATCTATTATATGTGTTGATTTTAGGATGGACTAAGAGCACCCGCAATGGTAAAGTAATGTGCTTTCTATAAAACATGTACATTTCAGCAATAGACTAGATTAATAGTAAACCACCTCAATAGTATGTCTACATGGGTATCTATAGCTCTCTCATGCCTTGCCTCGTTTTTCTCTATAGACTATCTCTAAGTTAGTAGATAGCTTTGCCCTCTCTCTTCATTTAATATCTTCCAAGTAGGAAAATATGCTGACATGGATCTCTTCTAGAGAGCCTATAAATAACCATTGTGGGTGCCCTAATAGTAAGGAGTGAGCTATATTATTATCCTTGCTCTAAATTAGGCCGAGCCGGGAGTGGGCCCAACTGACAGGGAGAGGAATGTGGCCAGCTGCCGATTGGATTTGGTAGGAAGCAGATTCTGGCATGGCTCAGCTGGCGCCTTTGCTTGTGCTTGGAGTTTTCCTTCCTCTACTCCGGGATGGATGCACCCTTGTGCACACTGGGAATCGGAGCTGCAGATCAGTGCCGCTATTGGTAGGCTAGGTTGCCAAGAACCGAGAAGGATACACTAGTACTACCTCCGTCCTACATAAGTGTAGCTATGAGTTTTCGCGTCCAACTTTGATCGTCCGTTTTATTTAAATTTTTTTTATAATTAGCATTTTTGTTGTTATAAGATGATAAAACATGGATATTACTTTACTCGTGACTTATGTCTTTAATTTTTTTTTTAAAAAAATTAAATAAGACGAATGGTCAAAATTGAGCGCTGAAATCTATGGCTGCACTTATTTTGGGATGGAGTTAGTATACTACTTTGGAGTTTGGGTAGGAGTGGTCGAGTTGAATCTTGAATTTGAGTTTGTTTATCCCAATTTGAGGGCAATGTCAATGCGAGTGGAGTACTTATGATTAATTATTCGCTGATGGACCGCATGTGTTTCATTTGTAGCTCCACTCTGTCGGTGCACGCGGCACAGAAAAGAAACTACTCCTAGAGATTTACTTGGGCTAGTACAGCCCATTTAAAACACTCAAACAGGCCCACTAATGGACCATTTGACCAGCCTTTTATTAAGTGTAGATGGTACCTGAATTTCAGGAAAATGATGTCATCTGGCTATACAGAACACAATGCACAGTACCTACCAGGAAAGCAAAGCATAACTATCAACATTTCCTTTACTATCATTCTGCTATTCATCACAATGATTGGTCTCATTTTTTTTTAATTAAAAAAATCAACTGAGTGTACCTATCAATACTGTGAAAAAAAGAAGAAAAGTGTACCTATCAACAAAAAAGAAGATAAAAACAATAACCTATGCACAGAGACTATCGTACCAGGAGTTCTATACAGCACAACATGAACTACTCCAGTTTATGAGCAACAAAATTGGCGAGTAATGCAGAAGGTTACCAGCAAATCCTGCAAACCACCAGAATTGGCGAGTAATGCAGAAGGTCACCTAGTGTGGATTCAAGTGCACCAATCCAGAATGTCTAACATTATTAGTTCTTTACGGCCCAGCGTCGACCCCTTATCTCATAGCCATCAGATGCCAAATCACCACCTCCCCAACTGTCCGCAGCAGCAACCGTGCTTACAGCTCTCCGATGTTTTTTGCCCTTCGTGAACCCACTATCACTTGTGCTACCACCTAACAGAGGATCATCAATTCCACGAACCGGTCTATCTGGTGACACTGCACTCACCCAGTTGTCATCCTGGCTTTTCTTGTTCTTTTTCATCAATTTGTCAAACCGCTTCTCGACTGGCCGTACAGCTTGGTTAACAGTGAATTTAAAATCCTTGATCACCTATAGAATAGTAAAAAGAGGACGATGGCCCACAACAGCACATGCTAATAAGTTCATGTAACCATGTGAAAAATCAAACATATGTATTCATAAAAGGCAAGATTTGTTTGTAGAACTCACATATTCCCCACTGCCAACCACGAAGTCTCGAACACTTTCTTTTATGTTTGTTGTGCTTCTCTCATCTGGTTCCAACTGCGGAAGCTTCAATTTGGCGGGTCTGTTACTTTCCTTTATTTCAAAAGGATCTACAGGGTCCGAGGATACATAATCCCCGAGTACTGAGACGTTTCCTGGTGACTGGTTGGCTTGCAGCTCATAGGGCTTCGCAGGGAACACATAGAGGTGAACAATGGAAGCAATGCCCATCTGTGTTGGCGGGAGAACGATGCTATCAGATATCCACAATATCACAAAAACATCAAGGAAAAGCAGCTTCTTTATTAGGACAAAACATTGATAACTCGTATGGTTCTTGGAAAGACAAGTACCTCTATGCAGATAATGAAATCTTGAATGCTCGATTTCAACTCCAAGCTCTGGGCTAAAGGACTTCTAAGTAGGCCCAAAGAATACATTATTGCAATTACCACCCCTTGCCACCATGTCAAGAATACTATTGATTTGAAAGAAAGAAACTTAGCCAGAGGCTTTATATGTGCCAATTCATCCTTGGTAGCCGTATACCATTCTACTAAACAGTACAGGGCCCAATATTGACTAAAGTTCAGGACTGCAGCAAAATAAGGGTATCTGCATCACAACAAAATGTGGAGTTAAACACAAGTGAGACAATGTGCAAGCAAATCAAGACAATTCAATCATGAAGATGACAGACAATCTAACTTCTGGATGTAATGTCAACTCTGATGCATATATAAGACCCAGAGTACGAATACTGCCCTTTTCCCACATATGAGTAAAAAATAATTAAAGGTATAACTATCTTACCCACATCGCAAATTGAACTCTCCATCACAATATACACCAAAAGCTTCTAGAAAAAGAGATAAGCTAGCCGTGACTGTCTTTATAATCACCTGCATGAGCAAAATACTTAACTAAATCAAACTCAATCTTCCAGATTTAATAAATAGCAAGAAAAGGAAAAATAGAGTAGTGGAAATACATATTGGAAGATTCCAAATTTGATAATCAGGTAAAAACGCATCCCCAATCTCCAGGGTTTCAATATGAAGTTCACAGGAAAATGATGATGTATGATTCCCTTCTCAGAGGCATGATCCAAGAGGGGTTGCCTGGAACCAGAGCCTCCTTCCCTCTTTAAAAAAGCTATTGTTTTATCCTCCCCACCTACATTTAACCAACCACAGTAAATACACATATACCAGCTAAAACACACAAGGTGAGCTGAACACTAGCACACTACATTGCCTAGGCATGAAAACTTACAAGTAAAATAAAACTACAACAGATGGCCAATGCCACTGAAAGACATAAATGAAGGTATCACAAATTTGGCTTAACAGTGAAAAAAGCTTCATCATGTTCAGGCTACCTAAGTATCAATTTATCATAACATCTTAAGGCACCAACCAGTAAGAAGCTTAGCATATGGTGCGATCTATAAGAATATAAGATCGCATTGCTTACATTATTTTTCTGGGAGAGTTACTACACACTAATCCTATTGAGAAAAGCATGCTTTCCAGTTCTAAGATTTATATAAAGGCAGAGCCACAAAAGTAGTCACAAGAATGAAATCATTCATCATTCATTCATGTCATAAGACTGCAATGTTCAAAACATGTCTCGTGCCGTCATGCTTATTCTGAGAAAATGAGCTCGTTATATCTAAACTATATAAAGCAACATCCTAAATATTGGCGCTAAATAAACCCTTAGAGAACATTACACTAAATGTGAAACCACAGTCAAAGGTAGCTGCTGAATGTAACAAATTAGTGGTCATCCTCAATGTATGTTGATATAACTTACCTAAACATGCAGTAATATACCTTCCGAAGCAGTACATAGCAAATGCTTCATAACCATCACGCAAGATGCCACAGTAAACACTGGTATTTGGATTTATCAACGAAACATACTGGTCCAAAAGGAGAACAATGTCATCACACATATCATTGGAATAAGTAAGCACCTATGAAGATTGCTTTGGATGTCTCACCGACTCAATTGCATAACATGGGACCATCAAGATAACACCGAGAACAAACTTTTGTTCCTGCAGAAGGTAAACAAGGACCCAAAAAAAGTGAGTGTATGCTTGTCAACAGAACTATTTTTAAAATTGATGAGAAGGCGCAGGAAAGGGATGTACATACCTCTGGATTATTGTACGCTGAGAGGTGCTCAAATATAAGGTATATAGAGAGGGAAAGAGAGAGCAGCACGAAGAATCCCGCAACCAGAGTGGCCCAAGTTGGCGTGGTGTATTGCGCCAACAGGGGCATGAGCAGCCTAAGATTGACCCTCATGGTTGTGCAAAAATTTTCTTCCAATTCCTATGGTCTCACAAGACCTCAGAAATCAGCATAATTCAAAATGAAATTCTGCACAGTTGCGGGCATCTCCATATGCATAGCAGCTGTTGAACTCAATACCTAATTCACCCCAAAAAAGCAATCAGAAGCTGACAAATTCACATGATCCACGCAGAGAAACTATTATCTGCAGATAGATAATAAAGAGTTCGTATCCTGTATATATGAAAAGCCCCTCAACAACGCAAATCAATCAATAGATTACCCATAAATCAGAGAATTTTCTCTCGGTGCTTCCTGGAATCCACTAAAGTTTAAGAAGTTAGAACTGAGACAACAAGCAACCAACCCAACCACCCAACCAGAACGAGAGCGTACGGGGAAAAGAAGCTAGGGCGACATCGAATCTGTGGCTGCAAGTTAACCAATGGAAGCACACGAAATTCGACCTAAGATCGCTTCGTCCCCTCCCCCCCCCCACCCTGGAAGCACACGGCGGCGCCTTCACACACGAAACAACCTCCCGCCTCCCCCTGATGTAACATGCCCTAGCCCCTACACATGGATGTGAGCAGAAGAGATGGGGGGAGCTCGCTCGTGGAGGGAACCCGACCTGAATAAGCACACGTGAGGCCACGAGCGGCGAAGGCGGCCAATCTACGGCGGCTTCCGGCCGACGGCGGCGCCTCCGCGCGTGATTTCCCGCGGGACGTCGGCGAGGGAGAAGAGGGAGAGAGGAGGAGTCGTCGTGGTCGTGGCTGCTCGCCTCGCCTGCCCCGTGGCCCTGTGGGCCTTAATATTTTCGAAGGGATGGAGGAAGGAAAAAGTACACCGAAGGTCCCTCAGCTTATCATCAGGTTATAAAAACGTCCTCGAACCACAAAAACGTTGATATACGAGGTCCCTTAACTATATAAAACCGATCACAATAGGTCCCTCGGCAGTTTTGATCTCGGTTTTGTTCTACGTGACGGCTGAGTCAGCGTGGGCCCCATGTGAGCCTCACATGTCAAGGTAATCCACATCATCACCCTACCTCTTTCTCCTCTTCTCTCTTTCTGGGCGAGGCAAAGTGGCGAGTTCAGAGGCCGGCAGGCAAGGCGGGAGAGAGGAGGGCAGCGGTGCCGCGACGGCAGCCGGCGCCTGCAGCGGGGAAACACGGCGACGCGGTGGTGACGATGCGAGAGAAGGGGAGGGCAGTTGCGGCGGTAGCACGGTGGGAGCGTGAAGAGGACGGGAGGGAGAAGGGGCGAAGCGGCGGCGGGCGAGATGACGTGAGCGACGGGAGGGGCTCTGCGAGGTTCACCGGCGCTGGGGACGACGATGGCTTGGGGGCGTCGCGGCGCCAATCCTGGTCGGAGGCCGCCTCGGCATGCGCAAGCAGGAGGAGCACGGCACAAAGGCGGTGCGCCGAGAGCGGTCTTGCCCGCCACCGCCGCACTCACCCGCCAACACCACTGCACCGCCTGCTCAACGTCGCCATTGTCGTCCAAGTCGAGCCCCAATGAGCCACCTGCCCCTATAACCCCCAACGATGGCGACGTCCTCTAGCTCTCGGCAACTACGGCGCTTGGTCCTAGCGAGCCGCCGCCGTCGCGCCTGTCCCTGTCTCCTGTCGCTCCGGCTCTCGGCACCGACGCCAACACGTTCCTCCCGCCTCGCCGCCACCGACAAGCCGACGCCGACGCCGGCCTCCCCGCACCTCCCCACCGTCGTGGCACTGGTCCTCGAGCGCCCTCATGGCGTCGCTATCCTCGCCACATTCCTCCTGCCTCGCCACCACCGCCAAGCCGATGCCGGCGCCGGATTTGTACTTGGGAGGAGCTTGCCGGCCTCCCCGCGCCTCCGCCATGCTTCCCCACTGCGGCGCCACCCTCCTCATCTCCTGCCTCACCCCGGCTACCTTGCAGATAAGTGTGAGAGAGAGATGAGGAAGGGAGAGAAGAGGGGAAAGAGAGAGAGAGATGAGGCTGACGTGGATTACCCTGATATGTGGGACCCACGTGGGTCCCATGCTGACTTAGCCGCCACGTAGGATAAAACCGGGATCAAAACCGCCGAGGAACCTATTGTGACCAGTTTTGTATAGTTAAGTGATCCCGTATATTTGGTTTTGCGGTTCGAGGATGTTTTTTTATCTCGATGACAAGTTAAGGGACCTTCGGTGTACTTTTTCCATGGAGGAAACACCAGGTGGGCCCGGCCCATAGAGAGAATTGGTGGGCGGCGGTTTGCCCAATGTCCCCGGCCCACGCAGCAGCAGCTACCGTGGCGGCTGCGACCAGCGAGGGCAACCACCTCGTCGACGTCTCGACGACGACGACCATTCCGGCGCCCTCCACGGTGAGTGATTTCTCGCCCTCCCGTCCGCCGCTGCTTCCATGTTTCCAACTCCCTTTCGACATCGATTCTTCTTATCCGCCTCCCTTGTGGATTCGGATTTAGCTAATTAGGTCTCTTTCCCCCATTATTACCTTTTAAATTGGGATTGTGAGCAGCACAGAACGGCATGGCGACCTCTCCAGCTTATCCTCCCCCTGGATCCGGTGAGGGTTTCTCCAAACCGCCCGCTACAGGTAACGCTGCCTAAACTTGCCCTTAGTCTCAACCCCTGGATACAAAGCATGCGCTTCTTTACCTTTGAAAGTTCAAGAAATACAGTGAATAAGATAAGGCAGATTTATTTGTTTCGCTTTTGGTACAAAGATGTGATTTTTAAAAGAAACTAACAGGGTATAACAGGAATGCCTATTTTCTACTGTGATTTTTCGCTCAGTTGCATCACGTGAATAGGATTACAGTAAACGTGTTCTCAATCAGTATTTGATCTTTGCGTTTAGTCGTCTCTCCGGATCTGAAAGATTTGGCCTTCACCTGGTAATCATTTCGATGCATTCATTTCCCTATCCAGGAGGTTTTTGAACCTTGATCCACTTCAATCTCCAAGCAACAGTCTAAATTTAGCTTCAAATTTTGGGTTACCTGTATCTTTTTTTCTTTCATGAAATGGAATTATTTCCAAGCTTGTGGTGGCGTCTGTATTGGGTTTCTTTCTCCAAGTTATATTAAGTTTGGCTTCCAAAGAAGAACTTATATTTGCTTTACTACAAAAAAATCATCGGAAAAGGGCTCTTCTGTTGTACACCGATTTATTTATTTGATGCATGTATATAAATTGCTCTCTAATGCATTATAAAGCAAATAGCAATTGATGTTTACAATGATCAGATCCTTGTTCAAGTGGCCATTGGTCAGACCTCCCAGTTGATCTCCTTCACCGCATCTTGCATAGCCTTGAGCTCCCAGAAGCCCTTGCTGTAGCCGATGTCTGCAAGTCATGGTGCTGTGCTGCCATAGCTGCAGGTGTTCCTCGTTCTTGCACACCATGGCTAATGTCCTGGTCTGACAAGCCTCCACATGAACTGGAATATGATGTCTTGCTCAACAATTGCAAATGGCAGTGCCCTATGGGATGTGAATTCCACGACCTTGTCAATGGCCACAAGACTTATGAGGTTAATTTGCCACAAGTGGCTTGGGTTGGTGCATCTCATGGTTGGCTTGCTGCTGCTGATAATCTCTCTAATCTTTTGCTTTACAACCCATTTACCTTTACCACAATCCCTCTTCCGCCGATCACTGATCTAGGGTGTGTGGAGGCAGTCTATGACAGTGAAGGAAGCATTGTGAGATATCGCCTTGGAAAGCACAAGGAAAGTGATGCAAAATTCCTTGGTGTCTGGTTCTACTAGAAGCTTGTGCTGTCATGTGCTCCTTCTCTAGGTGGTGACTATGTCGTGATGATCATCCACAGCTCTGCTAATCGGGTCTCGTTTGCAAGTGCAATAGAAGGTCGCTGGCGATTGGCTTCAACTATAACCCAAGGTAGCGGCGACCGATACGCTGATTGCGTCTACCACAAAGGCAGGTTCTACACCCTGACTATGTATGGCGTTCTTGAGATGTTGGATCTTGATAATCCATGTGAACCAAGAAAGGAGATTTTTTTCACCGAAAGGAACACGGAAAACCCTTTAGTTTTCCTCAGATTCCTAGTGTCAACACCATGGGGTGATCTTTTGCAAATAAAGTTTTCTCGACGTGTTCATCGTACTAAAAGACTTGAGCTACGGCTATGCAAGATTGAGGTTGAAAATAACAGATTGGTAAGATTAAGATCTGCGGTTGCAGCAGCAGCCCTTCGGGAGCATGCGATATTTGTTGGACAAAATCATTCGGTGTGTTTGCCCATCAGGGATTTTCCAGAGCTTAGGTCCAGCTGTGTCTACTTCACAACACCTTGCTTGTGTAACGATGATCATTTTCCTTCTAGGCGGGAAGGTTGGAAAGGTGTAGGGATTTACGACTTGCAAAATCAGATATTTGAGGATGTTTTCCCTTCTTGTGAGCGTGGGTATTCGACCTATCTCCCTATTTCTGAAGTTTGGATCACCCCCAGCCCCGGCCTTTGAAAGAGTACCACATAGCCTTTTAGAAGTTTGCTGGAAGCGTGGAACGGATCATTGCTGCCGTGTGCTTACATTGACTTGTACTTAACTTATCAATGTTATTGTTATATATATTGTTTTGCCGCCTTTTAGAAGTTCGCTGGAAGCCTGGAACAGATCATTGTCGTGTGCTTACAATGACTTGTACTGAACTTATCAATGTTATAAGCATCCGAGTGTTGTAGCCCATGTTCTGTAAGCCGGTCCACTGTTCAACAACGATTGTAGATTGCCAACCATGTAAAAAAATGGCACTTCAGAGGTGCCCAACTCTTTCAAATTCTTCTCTAAGAAGCAAACCTAATGGTCCCAACAAAGGTCTCGTAAGCGGATTTGGATGAATAAACTCCAGAATGATAGGCTTCATACATGTTGATCCGGAGAATCAACGCATAGAACCACCCCCCTCATTGGTAAGTCCCAGCGAACTTATATATTGTTTTGCCGCCTTTTAGAAGTTCGCAGGAAGCCTGGAACGGATCATTGCCGTGTGCTTACATTGACTTGTACTGAACTTATCAATGTTATTGTTATATATTGTTTGCCTGTGGAAATTTTGCCATATGTGCGCTTCATGCTAGTTTTTGTTGTAACTATAGCTTGACATTGATCGCAATTATTTTATTTCTTGTTGTAATGACTAATGAGGCACGCAGCGTGATTTAGATTATTGAGTATATTATTATCATGAATTATCTACTCAATTATAGGGATAAATTAAATGTTTTTATATATAAATAAATTCAACAAATAACTTTAAATAATTGGCCTAAGCAATATTCCACATCATAAGAAAATTTTTAAGAAAACATAGTATTTCTTAAAGCAGATAACAAATAATTTATTTGAATAATTCAATAAATAAGTTGGTAAATAGGACTAACAAATAGCAATAAATGTATTGATTGATTGATTTAATCATTTTTTTCGTTAATCGCGATTGTGCCCATTCAATCCGTCTTTGGTAAGTGGTAACCACTTACGCACACTCGACTATTTGTAGCTCGCTGTCGGCGATCGGGTGATCCATGTTTATCGTTGTTACCTGAATCATCTGCTGGAAATGCTGCCACAACAACGAAATGTTCCTTTGAGCAATGTACAGTCGCAAGATCTTTGATTTTACTAAGGCTGCCGTAGTTTTTCAATATTCTGTCCCTTGTTCAATCTTACTCCCATTTAGTCTTTGTTTGGTTCACGAGAAGAAAATTTGTGGGTGTCACATCGAATGTTTGACCAAATGTCGGAAGGGGTTTTCGGACACGAATGAAAAAACTAATTTCATAACTCACCTGGAAACCGCGAGACGAATCTTTTGAGCCTAATTAATTCATCATGAGCATATGTAGGTTACTGTAACACTTATGGCTAATCATGGACTAATTAGGCTCAAAAGATCCGTTTCGTGATTTCCCCCTAACTGTCCAACTAGTTTTTATTTTTAGAGTAGAATACACCAGCGGTCCTTAAACTTGTCAGAGGTTTCACTCAGGTCCACAAACTTGCAAAGCGCCCATCGAGGTCTCTAAACTTGGTTTATTGTATCATCTCGGTCCAAACCCGCGTTTTACCGTGGTCTTGCCTACGTGGCATGCCACGTGGACGATGACATGTAATTCTTTCTCCCTTTTTCCTTTTTTTTCTCCCTTCTCTTTTTTTTTCTCCTGCGCAACCGAGCCACCGCACGCCATGGGCGCCGCCACTGCCGCGGTTTTGCCGAGCAGCCGTGCTGGAGGCGAGCGCGCGACGGCGGCAAGCACGCAGGGAGGAAGACGGCGGCGTTGATGGGGGGGAGGACAGCGGCGGCGATGGGGGGAGAAGGGCGGTGACTGGGGGAGGAGGACGGAGGCAACTGGGGAAGGATAAAGGCGGCGCAGAAGGGCCTCGCGCACTCGCAGCTTGCCGCCCTCGATGCCGCCTGCGCGCGCGCTTCCCACTCACCGCTCGCCACCTCCGGCGCCGCCCGCACGCAGGCTCGCTGCTCACGGCACTGCCGTACTCCTCCCCCGTCACCGCGAGCCCAAGCTCCGCCGCCCACCGCCGATCTCCGGCCACGCGTCGCCTTGGGCGTCGCCCACGCTCCCATCCTGCCCCGTGGCTCCGGGTCAACCAGCGGTGGAGCCAGCAGCACGCCGCCAAGGCCCTCAGCTCAGGTCGACAGAGAAGGAGAGGCCGCTGAGCTCGGCGGGGAAGGAGATTAGCGAAGACGGCCAGCGGCAGTGATGGACGAAGACAACGGCCGGCTGCAACAAGCTTGAAGACGGCGAGGAAATCGGCAACGGGCGGACGCTGGCACTGATGGCGTGACCAGGGAGCAGCCGGACCGCGCAGCGAGCAGATCCGCAGCGTGCGACTACGACGAGCCGAGGGTGAGGTAGGTTGATGTCTGCGGCTGCTACTTCTCATGCTGCCTTGTTGGATTTTTGGATTTTGGATTGGTTGCTTGCTGCTGCTTGGATTTAGGCACTGGATCTGACTTGTTGCTGCTGTTGTTTGCGCTGATGGAGTGGCGGTGGACAACGACGAGCAGCCGAGGTGTTGGATGGGCTCGCTGGTGGCGAGGAGGCGGAGCTGCCAGCGCGCCAGTGTGGACTCGGAATTGATGGGCTAGGGCACCGCCGTGTTGACCGGCGGAAGCACGGAAGAAAAAAAAAAAGGAGAAGAGAGAAAAAAAGAAGGAAGAAGGAAGAAAAAAATATAAAAATTCCATGTCATCGTTCACGGGGCGTGCCACGTAGGCAAAATCACGGTCAAACGCAGCTTTAGACCGAGATGATACAATAAACCAAGTTTAGAGATCTCGATGTACGCTTTGCAAGTTCATGGACCTAAGTGAAACCTCCTGACAAGTTTAAGGACCGCTGGTGCATTTTACTCTTATTTTTATCTATATTTAATGCTCTATATATGTGTTCAAAGATTCGATGTGATGTTTTTGAAAAAAATTGGGAAAATTAATAAGGCCTTTTAGTTAGGGGGTATTTAGATCCAGGGCTGTAAAATTTGGACGTGTCACATCAGATATACGGACATATATTTAAAGTATTAAATAAAGTCTAATAACAAAATAAATTACAGAATTTGTCTGTAAACTGCGAAACGAATTTATTAAGCCTAATTAATTCATCATTACCAAATGTTTACTATAGCACCATATTGTCAAATCATGGAGCAATTAGGCTTAAAAGATTCGTCTCACAAGTTAGTCGTAATATGTGCAATTAGTTATTTTTTAGCTTATATTTAATACTTTATACAGGTGTTCAAAAGTTCAATGTGACAGGGTGAAACATTTTGGGGTGGGATTTAAACATGGCCTTAATATGCAGAGGGCATTTCCACAGGAGTACGATCTGCAAAAGTTTGACTACGGAGCAATGCTCAATTTGCGGAGGAACATTGGGCAAAGGAATTGAAAAATGAGGCCTTGTTTAGTTGGGGGAAAAATTAGGTTTGGTTGTCACATCGGATATATAGACACACATTTGAAGTAGTTTAATAACAAAACAAATTACAGATTCCGCCAAGAAATTGCGAGACGAGTTTATTAAGCCTAATTAATCTGTCATTAGCAAATATTTACTGTAGCACTACATTATCAAATTATGACGTAATTAGGCTTAAAAGATTTGTCTCGCAATTTACACGCAAACTGTCTAATTAATTTTTTTTTTCATATTTAATACTCCATGCATATGTCCAAATATCTGATATGATGGGTGAAAAGTTTTTTATTTTGGGTTATTTAGTTCCCAAAACAAAAAACTTTTCACACATCACATCGAATGTTTGAACACATACATGGAAACATAGGTTCTGTTTGGATCCAAGGGATATTTTTTAGCCTTCCCTCAAATAGTCCAAATAGCCTAAAAAAATCCAAAAGGGTGGGCTATTTGAGGGCTATCTGGAAATAACCTAAAAAAAAAAACTATCACACCTAAGGAGTGCTAATTAGGGCTATTTTAGGTGGGGCCCACTAAAAAGTGTCTTTTCTCTTTATCTCTCTCCATATGAAAGTACATAAAGGCCAAATAGCTTTTAAAATAACCCTTGGATCCAAACAATTTAGGACCATTTTTTTTGAAAGGTTATTTTTTTTGCTAAAAAATAGATCTTAAAATAACTCTTGGCTAGTTCTTTAAACATGCCAATAGTTTGAGTCGTAAATCGTAAGGCATTAGAATTTTGAATCCGAGTAGTAGTGCATTTGTATAATTTCTTTTTATGTTTTTTCTCCTAGATAAGCACACACTAGTAGTAACTAAAAACAATATGGCAGGACCCTATCTGACCCCGAGCTGGTCGGACCTTCCGACCGATATCCTCGTCATCCTGCAACGCCTTGAGCTCCCCCAAGCCCTGGTTTTTGCAGCCGTCTGCACGTCATGGCGCTCGGCCGCCGCAATCGCCAGTGTCCCGTGTTCATCCACGCCATTGCTCATGTCTTGGGCTCATCTCCTCGAACAGAGAGAAGCCCATCAGGTTAAGGTCGGTTCAGCCATGACCTGCAGCTTCCACCATCTCCTCGATGCCCACAAGTCCTACGATGTGAGTTTTCCCCATGGATGCTTTGTGGCATGCTGCGGAGCCTCCCATGGCTGGCTGATCCTCGTAAATGAGCTCGCCAATCTGGTCCTCTGCAACCCGTTCACCTCGCGCGCGATGCCTCTGCCGCCGATCACCGATTTCGCTCGCGTCGAGGGGGGATGCGAAAACGTATCGTTTCGCTGGAGACCGGGTTTATGATGCGGAGCACATGGCAACATGGTTCTACCAGAAGGCGGTGCTGTCTCGCAGTCCATCCGAACATGCCGACCACGCTGTTATGATCATCCATCGTGATATGGACTGGGTTTCTTTTGTTAGGCCAGGAGGAAGCAATTGGCAGGTGGCTTCAACTCTGGATGTTAACGGGAAAGATCGGTATGCCGATTGCGTGTACCACAATGGGGGCATTCTACATTGTGACAGTTCTGGGGATAGTGGAGAAATGGATCTTGAAGGACCGAACGGACCAACGAAGGAGGTTATTGTTTCCAAAATGCAATATTTACCTGGACTTCTTACAAGGCACCTGGTGTCTACTCCGTGGGGTTACCTGTTGCAAGTGCGTGCAATTTCGCGAGGTCAAGTGAAGAATGGTACGAGACTCCAAGTTCGCGAGGTTCATCCTGATGGGAGCAAGAAGGTATCACCAAAATCAAAATCAACAATGCCCTAAAAGAACATGTGATATTTCTCGGGTTGAATCACTCGGCATGTTTGCGCACCAAGAATTTCTCGGGGCTAAGGCCTCGTTGCATCTATTTTTCTGCTCCTTTGATGAGAAGCACATGTGATCTCCTTTATATTTGTCATGGATGGGGAGGCGGTAGGACCTATGACATGTTTCCCCCTCTGTGTACGTAAAAAGGCTATAACCCCTTTCCATCCGAGGTTTGGATCACACCAAATATGTAATGGAATAATCTACTTTAATCTCAGAAATATTGTAATTTGTCTACTTTAATCCTCTTACGCATGAAGTCACATATTTTACTTCCGAAGTACTCACTCCGTTTCAAAAAGAGTGTCTTTGCAGAAAACCAATGGCGAAAAGATGAGAGAGAGTGTGAGAGCCTCGTCGCCCACCTACCCACCACCTCGCCCGGCGGCCGCTCGCTCCGACGGCCGTCGGCCAGGAAAAGCCCCCGTTGACCCTGCCCCCTCCTGGGCTGATGTCGCCAGGGCCCCGCCGGCCTCTCGTCCGTCCTTGTCGCAGGAGGAGCTGGACGCGGGTTGGCGTGTGGTGAAGCGCAGGAGTAAAGTCGCTCCTGCTGCCGGCCGGACAACCACCGCATTTACTCCCCCGGAGCGACGCCCTATCCCCCGTTGGCTCCTTGGCAGGTGCTTCCGTTGCCTAGGTTTGGACCATCTTAAAGCCGCCTGCAGCGAACATCCAAGGTGCTACCGTTGTTGGTTCCCTGGCCACCTCGAGCGTAACTGCTACGTTGACCTCGACGCCACCCCGCCGCGGAAGGTCCCTGCTGCGGCGCCGGCAGCGCCCCTCCGACAGCCATCTTCTGGTTTCTCTGTGTCTGCTCCCTAGGCGCACTCTGCTCAGGCCAGCAGCAAGGCGGCCGCCTCCGAGCGCTCGTCGGCCACGCCTCTTGTGCGCGCAGCTTCTCCTGCTCCTGCAATCTCAGCGCCATCTCCAACCAAGCCCGCGTCAGCTCCAGTGAAGCCTGCTTGCGCCAAGCCGATGGAGGAGGGCTTGGGTGCCGGCGACCCGCTCCTGCGCCCGCAAGGCGGCCACGGCGTCCTTTCTTGGACCCCCGGCATGTCGGCGATAGAGCAGCGTCTGAGGGGGCGTTCCCTGGTTGCCTCGGTGCTCTCGGGGAGAAAGGAGGTCTCGCCGGCGACGATGGTCGCCGCGCTGAGCGGTCTCTGTGGGGTCCCCCCTGGGGATGTCTGCGTCGAGGTCTCCAGGCCGTCGGACTTCCTCCTCTCGTTCCGGCGAGAAGAGGACTGCTCGGGCATGCTCGCGTGGTCGGGGCGCTTCAACGCGGGGGGGGGGGGGGGGGGGGGGGGCTCTGGTTTCCTTCAAGCGCTGGCATCGCGCGGTCCACGCCCGAACCTCCAAGCTTCTTTTCGTCGTCAAGCTGGCTGTGGAGGGCCTCCCAGCCCACGCCATGGAGATTGAGGCTGTCAAGCAGCTCCTCAACAAGATTGATTGTCAGTTCATCGAGCTGTTCGATCCAGTTGATGCGTGTATGTTGGAGGTGTTGGCCTGGTCGGCCGACCCGTCCAAAATCCCGAAGGAGTTCATCCTTGACATCCCCGAGCCGATGCAAGAATGGTGGATGCCGCCTGCGACTGATGATCCTGACATGTTCGAGCTGCTCGTGTCACAGTCTCCCCCGGCCCCGCCCACGGAGAAGAAGTGTCTCACCTTCGATCTCCTCCTGCATCTCAGAGAGGTGGTCGACCCCGTCCGGCAGCTGCCGGACAGTCCGTCCTATGACCCTTTCCTCGACGATCGCGAGGCCCCTCGCAGGCGCACTTACAACGCATTCCTCGGCAGGATCGACGGCTCTGGCCCGGGCCAGCTGTTGGGTGGCGGCCACGGTTTCGCGGGCTCGAGTGCGGGGACGGCGGGTGGCCTCCAGCGACAGCTGCTCCTCGAGGTGGGGGTGCAGCATGCGGAGCCGGCGCCTGTTGTCCCCCTGGTGCTGCCTACGTCCGCCCAGCAGGCGCCGCCTCTGGTGCTGCCTGCCCCCGTTCAGCATTCCGTGCCGTCGGTGGACGGGCTGGCGGCTGCACAGCCTCTAGCGGCGTCGGACATTGCACAGGACGTTCCTTCCCAGGCAGCTGCTGTGGCCGCCGTTCTGGGGTCACCTGACGTCCTTTTGGGGTCGGAGGATATCTCCCCGCCGCTCGCTTCGTTGAGCGTCGGGCAGGTAGCTCCCCCTTCTCCGGTCGGAGGTCGGACGCCGGACGTCGGGCAGGCTGTTGCGGCCGCTGTTCTGGGGCCGTCTGACTTCCTTCAGGGGCCGCAATTCTCCCCGCCGTCACTGTCCGAAGGTGTGGGGCCAGCGCCTGGCTGCTCGGCGCCAATCTCTCAGGCTGCGACCGCCCAAGTGCTTCCGTCGGCCGGAAACCAGGCTTCGACCTCCGCCATGGGTGCTACGTCCGTGCACACGTCTCCAGGTGAGGCGGTGATCACCATGCAGCTAGTTGGGGTGGGGCCAGGCTCATTAACCAGCCCTGCTTCAGCACCAGCGCGTCTGGGTGTGACCCCACCTGTAAGTGAGCTGAGGCAGAAGGGGCTTGCCAGGCAGCTATCTTTTGATGCGCCCGCCCAAGATTTGCCGTGCTCAGCGGCATTAATGTCGCCACAACCTCCCCAGGCTACGGCGCCGGTTGATGAGGATGAACGCGCGAATACGGGTTTCAACTCCCCTGGGGCACGAGAATTGGCGCCTCTGTGTGAGGGGGCGTCGCAAGGCATTTTAGGCCTTGGGCCCTGGCCCGAGGTGCACATCTCCAGCCCAGCTCTGGTGTACTGTCGTCGCCACCTCCGTCCGACTACGGGCCGCAAGTGGCCTACTCGTCGGGCTGCTTCTGGGAGCCCGCCGCTTGCCACGCAGGCTGTGGCTTCTCCGGTACAGGGCGCGTTGCAGGATGCCTCCCGCCCTGTTCCTGATCTGCTGGCGGGGGAGATTGTCACCTCGCTCGGTGATCTGATGGTGCCCCTGCCAGGCGCGATCCTCGGCAAGTTTCCACCCCCGACGCCGGTGCGCAGGTCGCGGCGGATGGAGCCGTACACACAAACTCCTAGGCGTAGTGAGAGGCTGGCTGCCATGAACGGTGGGCGTCACCAGCACTCGGCCTCGAAGGCGCAGCGTGTGCTCATGAAGAAACTCGGCGTGGTTGACGATGAGAACAAGGTGGAAGAAACAGATATCCTCAAGTACCTGGAGCTCTTTAAGACGCCGCTGGTGCCGTCCCACATCCAGGCCTTGGCTGCGCTCTGCTGCGTCAAGGTGTCAGCTTCACAGGGAGTGGAGGTCTTCTGATGTCGCGCCTGTTCCTTAATTGTTGTAGCCTCTTCCTCTGTTTCTAATGTCTTGCTCTCTGTTAGTTTGGAATGTAAGGGGGCTGAATAACCCCAGTAAGAGGTCTCTCGTAGCAGGGGTGGTGAGATCGTCTGGTGCTTCCATTTTCTGTTGTCAAGAGTCGAAGTTGGCTGCGCTGGATAGGCAGCTTGTAGTGCAATCTTGTGGCTCTTTGTTGGATAATTTTGAGTTCATCCCGTCTGATGGTTCCAGAGGTGGTCTGTTCATTTCTTGGCGCGCCGATCGTTTTGCTGTGAGCTGCCTGCACAAGGGAACTTGGTCACTCACGCTGAGTGTGACCAACTTGGAAGGGGGGCTGTGTGGACATTGACTAATGTCTATGGGCCGCAAGCACCTGAGCAAAAGGTGCAGTTCCTTAATGAACTGACGACCGTGGGTCAGCATCATGTCCAGGGAGCATGGTGCATCGTGGGGGATTTTAATCTCCTGGCGGCGGAATCAGATAAGAACAACCAGAATGTTGACAGACGCATGATCAACCGGTTCAGATGTTTGCTGAACCTGCTGGAGCTCAGGGAGCTTTATCTGTTCGGCCGTCGCTTCACTTGGAGCAGCGAACAAGAGTCACCGACTCTTACCAAGATCGACAAAGTCCTGGTGAATGCGGAGTGGGAGGACTTTTTCCGGGATGCGCACCTGCAAGCTCTCAGCTCGTCGGCTTCGGATCATTGTCCTCTTCTTTTGGCTTGTGATGCAATGGTCCACAGGCCGCGAAGATTCAAATTTGAGGCGTTCTGGCTGCACCTGGATGGTTTCGACGAGATTGTTCGGGCTGCCTGGGAATCGGCCCCGGCAGGCTCAAATGCCTTCAGTTCTCTTCACTTTAAGCTCAAGGCTACGGCGACGGCACTTAAACCATGGGGAGCACATCGCATTTGTGAGCTGCGCTTGCAGCTCGCTGTGGCACATGAAGTGATTCTTCAGTTGGACAGGGCAATGGATTCTCGCCAGTTGTCCCCGGAGGAGCGCTCCCTCCGTGCGATACTCAAGGGGAGGTGCCTCGCACTCGCCTCGCTCGAGCGCATCCGTCTGCGACAGCGGGCACGTCTGCGGTACCTAAAGCATAGCGGGACGGCCTCCCAATTCTTCCACTTGAAGATCAATGCACGACGTAGAAAGAAGACAATCCCTATGATTCAGCACGGTGGAGTTTGGGGTGTAACACAGGAAGACAAGCTGGATATGGCCCATGACTACTTCTGCAGCATCATGGGTTCACCGTCGCCTCCGTCTGCGGCTCTTGATCTAGGCCGCCTGGGTCTGCCCTCTCTCGATTTATTGGAGCTCGAGGTGGAGATCACAGAAGATGAAGCAAAGAAGGTGATGTTAGAGATGCCCGTGGACAGGGCTCCGGGACCGGACGGTTTCGGCGCAGCCTTCTATAGAAGATGCTAGAATATTGTGAAGGATGATGTGGTAGCAGCCCTCAACCTAGTGTTCAACGCTAATTCGCAGCATCTTCATCTCCTGAACACTGCATCCATCATCCTACTCCCCAAGAAAGACGATCCGACGCAGCTGGCAGACTATAGGCCCATTAGCCTCATCCACAGCTTCATCAAGCTCTTCACTAAGGTTCTCGCTACTCGTCTGGCTGCTCGCATGAATGAACTTGTTGGCCCCGCTCAGTCGGCGTTCATCAAATCCAGAAGAATTCAGGAAAACTTCTTGTATGTGCAAGGTGTGGTACGGAAGATTCATCGTGCAAAATGCCCTGCTGTCCTGCTTAAGCTTGACATTGCGAAAGCTTTCGACTCGGTTTCGTGGGAATTCCTGATTGAGCTGCTTCGCCATCTGGGTTTCGGGTCCAAGTGGAGAGATTGCATCGCCGTGCTGTTGGGTTCCTCCTCTACCACGGTCTGCATCAACGGTCAGGACACGCATAGGATCCGCCTGGCCAGGGGTTTGCGGCAGGGTGACCCGCTGTCGCCGCTGCTCTTCGATCTGGTGATGGAGACCTTCGCTGCCCTGTGTAACACCGCTGTGTGTAGAGGTGCCTTGAGCCCGCTGACCGGTGGTGTGCTTCCCTTGCGGACTTCGCTCTACGCAGATGACGCCATCATCTTCTTCCATCCCTCATCCATGGATGCCGCCTCTATTCGCTGTCTGCTCAGCATGATGGGTGCGGCAACCGGTCTGGTCTCCAATTACTCGAAGAGCTCCATCACTCCAATTCATTGCTCCCAAGAGCAAATCGATGAGGTGGCTGACGTGCTTGGTTGCCCGGTTAGACAACTCCCCATTAAATACCTCGGTCTCCCTCTATCGGTGCGCAAGCCGGTCAAAGCAGACATTCAACCATTGATGGACCGACTTGGTAAGAACCTTGCCGGCTGGAAACCAAAGCTCCTGGGGCCTGATGCCTGCCTTGCCATCATCAAGCACATGTTGATGACCCTCCCTCTCTATTTTATGTCTGTGCTTGAGTTACCGTCGTGGGCGATCAAGGAGATCGAACGGAAGTGTAGGGGATTCCTTTGGAAAGGCGATGAGAACGCAGCCGGGACTTGCAGCCTTGTGGCATAGGACAAACTCTGCTTGCCTTTTGAGAATGGCGGCCTCGGCATTAAGGACCTCCGTCTCATGGGTGTTGCTCTGCGCACGCGCTGGCCGTGGGTTTGCCGAGATCAGCCGCTCCGGCCTTGGGTGAACATGGCACCGCCGATGGACAAGAGAGTCAATCACTGCTTCATGGCTGGTTTCAGGATGCGCCTCGGTAATGGGGAGGGGTCGTCCCTCTGGTTGGACAATTGGCTCCCAGACGGCGGCCCCCTATCCGCACGCTTCCCTGTTCTCTTCTCCTTCGTCCATTGCAAGTCGAGGACGGTGGCAGAGGGGTTGCGAGACAACGCTTGGGTGAAGGATATCAGGGGCGGGCTATCCATTCAGGCTTACCTGGATTTCTTTGCCCTTTGGGACCTACTTTCCTCGATACAGCTTGAGCCCGAGGTGGCTGACACGGCGGTTTGGTGGCCGGCGAAGAACGGAACCTTCTCTGTCAAATCAGCCTACTATTTGCTATTCGCTGGTCGTACTCGATGTTTGTTGGGCAAGATTATTTGGAAGTCACGCGCGCCGGAACGCTGCAAATTCTTTATGTTCTGCGCCATGAAGAATGCCTGCCTTACGGCTGATAACTTGCAACGGCGTGGATGGCATCTGGCTCCAATCTGCCATCTTTGCTCCAAAGATATCGAATCTTGCACCCACATCTTCCTTAACTGCGCCTTCTCTCGTGAAGTTTGGGGGCTGGTGAGGGGCAGGATTGGCTTCCTTCATGCAGTACCGGATGATGACTTGCCCACTTGGTGGTGTGCCGCGCGCAAGGTGGTTACCAAGAGGGAGAGGAAAACCTTTGATGCGGGCGTGATTTTGGTGACTTGGCTGATCTGGAAGGAACGGAACGCTCGCGTGTTCGATGGCCGAGCCTCCTCGCCGGCCTGTCTGTTCGCGACGATCAAGGATGAATGGGAAACGTGGCTGGCGGCGGGTTTGATCCCTCCTCCGTGAGAAGGCTTGTTGTAGCTCTGCTGGGAGAGGTTGTTTGTGTGTTTGTGTGTTTGCCCCTCATCTCCTTTGAGCGGCGGCTTTCCTGCCTCTCTTAAAAGGGATGTGGCCCTGCTTGTAACCAGTAATGTACTTTCTTTGCCCTATCTTAATATACTTTGGCCGGCATCTTTGCCGGCCCGGCGAAAAAAGAAAACCAATGGCATACCAAGAAAAGGAGCTAAAAGACTGCCATACATGGCAAAACGTTGAATCACAACATTTCTGTAATATTTTCAGTAACAATCAGCTGGAAATATTGAGTATATATCGTCCATGAAAAGGCACTAACAAGAACAATAAGTGTGCTCAGCGAAGCTCCTAGTTACAGTGCTATATACATAGTGTAACTGTGAAATTCAGATGTTCAATTTTTGGGGCACACTTGTCAGTCAAATTCCTTTGAAGTTGGAGCACACACCAGCTAGGACATACTCTCCTCAAAAGGCAAAGTTGGATCATCAATTGGATGAGCGCCTTTGGGCAATATATTTCTGAAATAAAAGAACAAACCAAAACACCAACCTTGAGCATATTTTGCTATTAATGTGGAGTAACACCATTATAAAGCATTATATGAACTAAAATCTAAAAGGCTGTTAGAAGATGGATGATTACAGTAGTATTGGCTAGCTACAAAATGCTATACGGCACTTCGACCAACAACGTTAGACATACTTTAGAATACAAGATGCAAGTGTCTCTAGTGATTCATCTCAAACTGGATTTAAACAAAAAAAAATGCCTTCATGGATTGTGATATGCTGGTTGGTATGGTGCTAAAAAGTTAATAGGATTCACTAAGAAATGTGTTCGATGGATTAAAGCATTTCTTATGACAGCTAAGACCAGCAATTATGGAACATAGCTCCATGTTAGTTATATTTCCCTTATGAAAAGTCTCTAAGACAGAATAGCCTGTTTATTACATTTAACATCTGTGCTCATCTCGATAGAGGGTCGTTTCACAAGTGACAAAGCAATATCTTTCGTAAGCCACCTAAAAACCCTTATCAGAATCATCCACAAGTTTACTCCAAAATGTAGATTACAGTTTGATCATTCTACAGTTACTTTTCTTTACTAGTTGTACTATCACATACCGGGTATTATTTTCTTTTAGTTGGTATAAAGTAAGGGCACTCCTTCCTTTCAACGACAAAAGCTCTCCTATGGTACTTCTATAAAAAATGTAGAATGATAATAAAGTTCAGATTAGTGTATTTACCAATATCTCATCTGTTGATGGGCGATTGGAAGGAATTAGAGCTGTCAATTTCTTCAGCAGTACACTGTCACCACTCCACTTCCAGTCCGCTGGATGTATACCTTTTCTCAAGTTTGTCAAAACATCACGTTGCTCATGTCCAGTTTTGAAAGGGTAGAACAACTCGAAAAATATAACACCTATACTGAATATGTCAGTCTGAAAAGGGATAACCTGAGTTATTAGGTACTCCCTCCATACTCGTAAAGGAAGTCGTTTAGGACAGCGACACGGTCTCCAAAACACAACTTTGACTTCTTATTTCTATAAAAATATTTATTGAAAAGTGATATATGTATACTTTTATGAAAGTATTTTTCAAGACAAATCTATACATATAATTTTTACATTTTCAAACTCAACAACTTAAGAGTTATTCATGATTTATATTCCTAAGGTTTGACTTAAACATTGTCCTAAACGACTTACTTTATGAGTATGGAGGGAGTAGGTATTGCATGTGAATAAAACTGTCATAACTGAACAGTTTGTCCATACGCATACCTTTTCAGTAACATGTTGTCCTTCCTTCAGCTCGGGGGCACTATACATTGGAGTACCACGGTCTGGAGTTCCTTTCAATTCATCAATCTTATTTGTTGCCCAACAAGCATGGCCAAAATCAGCGATTTTCACTAAACCATTTGATCCAAAGAAAATATTGCTTGGCTTTAAGTCCCTATGTACAATGCCCTCATGGTGAATACACTGGACAGCTCTTGTTATTTCTTCAAAAAGCATCCATGACTCTTCTGTATTTATTTCACGTGGTCCAAAACGAAGATCATTCCTAAGGGTCCTGCAGAATAGTTTCAATTTCATGTCATTGGTTTAACACATGCAAATGAGAGTGATATTCAGGTTATCACACACAAGCATGCAAAGCATCAAGTGCGAAAGTTGTATGGCTAAATTGTGAACCCATCTATCTTCTATCTATTATATACTAAAAGTCCATTAAACTTCCTACAAACGCTCTCAAGTTGCCACGTGGCGCTCTAATAAATTAGAGAAAATCCTAGAAATTCTAAGAAAAAAGCAAAACATCTACCCTTGATTTTCACTTAAATTAGTGGGTCCAATATTATACACCGTTAGATAAAATTGATCTTAAAACAAACCAAATAATATGGGTCCCACCTCTCCTTTTTCTCCCGCGTGCATAGGTATAGGTCACGTACGTACATGCATGTGGACCTGTTGTTCGTACGCCTCCCTCCATTTTTTTCCTTTTTTTCTTCTTTTTTCCATTTATACAATCTGATATATATTTGTTTAAATAATAATAATTTAGAAAAAAAGAAAATACCATCATATAACTCTTTATAAACACAGGTAACTAAATTAGCTATGCAGACTTTGAAAATAAAATTTACACCATATTATATGTTAATTAGCTCTAAAATCAATAATGTAAGATAATTTACTAAATACTATTATTTTCATATAATGCACTATTTTAAAATAAAGCTTACACAATATTATATTGTGTACCTATCAAATAAACAATTTAAGATCTATATTAACTAATATATACATGTACTTAAACAGATAGACCCATTATTTAAATCATCGGATCTATTTTTTATTACTTTGGATTATTATTCTCAAATAATTCAGTGTTTTAAAATAAAATCTACACCATCACCATAATGTTGTGTACCCATTAAATTAACAATTTAATATATATATATATATATATATATATATATATATATATATAATACATATATATTAACTAAGTTACATTTACACTAAAACCGGTGGACCCATTATTTAAATCATCGGATCTATTGTTAATAATGTCTAAAGTTCTCTTTTTGGCCCACTCCACAATGCATATCTGCACCTTTGCCTTTCGCACATGTGACAGAGTGTCGTGTTTGAGGCATCTTGGGTGATCACGACCGCTGCAGCGCTACCGTTGTTGTTAATAGCATGAAAATAAAATTAAAGATGTGATGTAGCGAGAGAAGAATTAAGTACCGTGGAACACTTAACTCTGTTTAAGCTGAAATCGAGAGTTGATTAAATAATAATTATAATGTATTGTGTTATGTTGTATTTGCATTTTGTATTATTTGTTCGTACAGTTGAAAGAAATCATTATGTTATAATTGTGAGCACAATATTAACGAATATCAACAGAACTCTTACTAGGATAAGAGTGTTATAAGGGAGTTTAAGGCCCTATTTTTTCCCTGATTCCATCTTTTGAATTTTCGTTTGCACGCTCCACGCTTTCCAAGTTACTAAATGGTGCTTTTCTTAAACAACTTTTTAACTTTTCAGAAGTCAATTCATTCGTTTATAATCTCAAATAGCTATCACATAAATCAGATAATTCATCAATTTCAGTTGTCCTATCCCCTAAAGTACATATTTTTTTCATGCGAGTCATGGTGATAAGTAAATTGGTGATCAACGCATAATCAAAGTCGTAAGATAAATCTGTTAGAACAACTATGACCAATTGTAAATAGGTGTCAAAATTAATTGCTATTAATTAAACAACTAATGGCTTGCTAGCAACATATTTAATTTTTCTCTACATGTATATAAACATGGACGAAGCTAAAACGAATATGAACATACATCCCATACATATATATATTACATCTTAATATTCTAATTACATGTGGTAAGTCCACTAAAATTTCTTAAAATGCCCTCAAGATGTCACGTGGTGCTCTAATAAATTAGAGAAAATATTAGAAATTCTAAGAAAAAAAGCAAAGTATCTATTACTTGATTTTCACTTGAATCGATGGGTCCAATATTATAAACCATTAGATTAAATTGATCTTAGAACAAACTAAATACTACGAGGTCCCACCTCTCCACCTTTGGTACGCACCTACGTACGTGGGTACCTACGCTTCCCCACCCTTTTTTTTTATTTTTCCCTTTCTTCTTTTTCTCCATGAATATGCTTCCCTCCCTTTCTTACTATATCATGCACCTTCACGAGACGATTTAATCTATTTACTTAAGAAAAAAATATGATTCAAAAGTCGTAAGTACTTAATCCATCTCCCACTCAAAAGCTTGCGAATGGACTTTTAAGATACCTTAACAAAAAAATAGAACCCTTAAATTATTACAAAATAACAGTATCCGAACTTTAGTTTGCCCTTAATCTATGTGATAATTTTTTTAACAAACAATAAAAATCTTACCTTTCAATAATATATGTGCCCGCGCATACGCGCGGGCCACCTTCCTAGTTGTTCTAAACCCTGTAACATGTTTCATACCTGAGACAATGCTCCATTAGAATGATCACATATTTATCCTCACTGGAACTTGACAGATCATCTTCGGTGGAACAGGATTGATCATTCTCAGTCGAACATGATAGATTCTCACTAAAATATGGGTCATCATCAGTGATCCAAGCCTAATGCAAATAAGTACAGTCAGATCATTCATAGGTTTCCAATTGCAACTTTGCAACATATATGCGAAAGACATTTTTGTTACGAACTTATAATTTACCTGGTAGAAACTAACTACACATGGGGCTTTTAGACAAGACATGATTTTCACTTCCCTGTAAACACATAAGCAGTCACAATAGACTTGATAAGCATGTTTGAACTTTGAAAAAGATCCATCCTGAGGGGAAAGCCACAAACCTAGGCTCTTTATTGTTGATTGCGTCCATATCATCAAAGTTTTCTGTGATTTGCATAATTTTCATTGCATAGTGAACTTCAGGGATATCATGATGTTGACACACACTGTCACGAGCCACACATTGAAAGACTTTGCTTGTTGAACCTCCACCTGTTACAAATTTCTTTCTGAGAATGGTTGTGAAACTTTTTAATTCAATAATTTATGAAAATGCATACAAATTGCTCACCCAACAGCTTAATGACTCTATAGTCATTTGCACTAATTTTAGCACATATTAGCTTCTTGAGATCGTCTGAGAATTCCTACAAGAAAAAGTGAAAGGACATAAACATAATACTAAAAAATTACCTTCCAACAGCGAAGCAATTAATTAGTAAATACAACTATTTACCAAGGGACCTTCGAATTGTAAAATAGAAATAGAGTCCTGAGACCAAATGGCGGAGACCTGAAATAAATTTCAATTTCTATAATTCAAGAAATAATACGTTTAATCTTTAGGAATTCCATTTATGGTCCAAACCTGAGTTCTGTCATCATCAATTTCAGGTGCAATTGCAATGGTTTTTAGCACTCCCTCCTTCTCATTCTGCTGTAGCCACTTCACACGATATCCTTTTGTGAATTCCCAACAGCCATCGCCTTGCAAAAGTTACAAGACAAAAGAAGAGAGATTGAAACACAAAAGAACTTTCAGTTTTTTTTTCAGTAATTATTTGATCTTATTCCTACCGAAAACAGATAGCACAACACGCGGAATTCCTGGCCACATCCGTATCTGTACTGAATAATACTTGTGCCCATGTCCCTCTTCCTCTTCCGTTTCGTCGCTACTCCCGGAAATCTCCTCCTCCTCCTTCTCCTCCGACGTCTCCAGCATCTCATCTTCACGCGACATTGCGCCCTCCTCCTCTCCAATTTCCGCTTCCGCCTTCTCCCACGTCTCACCTCCCCTCTCCGCCGCATCATCGCCCACCGCTCCACCCGCTGGTCTTCCCTCCTCAAGGGAGGGGAGACGAGCGATACCCCTGACGTCGGCACCTTCAAGCAGCAGGAGATAAACCGCCGCTTCCTTGCCGGGATTAGCATCCTCTGCTTCATCCGTACCGATGGCGCTGGCATGGGCTCGGTGAGGCAGCAGAGGAGACGGCGGGTGGGAGAGGCCAAACCGCCCCACCTCAACGGCGCCACCCTCTCCGTCGAGCAAAAACATGAGCAGCGACATCGGCGGCGGCGCATCGGTAGCGGCCTCCTCCGCAGACACCGCCGAAGCCGGCGCAGGGTGCTCTGCCGCAGCAGCCATGATCGTCGCATGAAGCACGCCGAGCGGATGCGGTCGGGGGTGGGGGATGGGGGGGGGTGGGACTCGCGGCGGGAGAAGGGGAGAGATGGCGCAAACCCTAGCGAGAAGATTGCCGCCGCGTTGCGAGGTAGCCGAGGAGGAGGAGGAGAGGGAGGCGCCGAGGCGGGAGCCGGGAGGCGATGAATTGGGGGAGAAGAAGTGGAGCCACACGGATTCTTTCTGTGGGACCCATCAGCAGTCACCGAGTCACTGACATGTGGGCCCGCTTAATAGACGGCCCACATGTCAGTGACACAAAGTTAGAGAGAAGCAAGAATATGAGATGCACAGGTGAGGCAGATTTTAGTGCCTGAATAATCAGGCAGCAACTCAATACTCCCTCCATCTCAAAAAAAAGCAAATGAACATTTCTAGTATAATGAATCTGGACAGTGCTTTATCTAGATTCGTTGTACTATGAGGTATCTAGGTTGGTTTTTTTTTGGGCTGAGGGAGTACAACATACTGAACGCACCAATTGGAATTTTCATTTTTTTTTAAGAGGAATCTGAAAGTCTCAACATGCAAGTTATTTTCTTCATGCTACTTGAACACATGTAGATTTACAAGAGATTCAGCTTACATAGGCTGAATGCCTGAATCATTTATTAGCCCCCCAGTATAACTGAAGGACTGACCACCACCCAGATTATCCATCATTCACACCAAGTTTACATTACCACAAAAGAGCTGTAGTAAGGTAAATCTGCTGCACTTTTGTGAAGCATCAACATGCTTGCTGTAGTTGTTCTGAAGCTAAGTTAAAAAAATCTATCCAGGGGAATAGATTCATTCAACAAGGCTGCTTCTGAAGGTTGTAACCTCCTGCTCCTGACTCAAGCAAGAAGAGAGCAGGCTCCGTTTTGGCTGCACACCCAAACTTGAACGTACTGTATTTCCGGTGCACGCCGGTGAGCTTGCCTGCTCCCGCCTTCTGGTGGAAATCTACCATCATCCTAGAACACTCACTGAAAAGGAGAACAAGAGAAAGAAATATGATCAGCTCAAGTATGATCACCATACATCTGAAGACATAAATGCTTGTAAACGCAGGCAGGGAATGCGAAGGCGAAGTGCTACTTACAGAAGCTGCTCTCCGGTATATCTACTATGTAGTTCGCAGGTCTTTGTCCACTGCTGGCAACGAGTGAGAGCACATTGTGCTGTGTAAACTGCAGCAGCAGCAAGAAGCGAAGGTCGGTACTTGAGCATTTGGTATTCCACCAGGGAGAGCTCCAGAATGAAAAAGGAAAGTAGCTGTAGCTGTGATTGACAACATGCATTATATTGGCTGTTGGGAGCTTTGTTATTCAAGTGATGAAAAACACTGATTTTGTAATGTTAGGATAAATCACCTGCTTGTCAGACTGAGCTGCCTTCAGAAACCGTCTCATAAAAACGTAAGGTGTTGGTACAGACATGTTGAACTGGAGTGTGTTTAGGATCAACTTTTCCTACTCAATGAGGAGATTTACTTGTTTAGTACGACTGCCAACAGGCCATGGCACTCTAAAATAAAAGAGGACAATATGCAAGCACACACAAATATGAAGAGATAATAAAAAAGGATGTAAACAGAGATATTAATTTGGATGTCATAGAAGCATTGGTCTATTTGGATATCTAAGGATTTGTAGCATTGGTCATGAAGTCAATGTAAGTGCATACTGTATTGAACGAAATACCATTTCCAGAATTTGTCCTTTTGTATAAGCCCGGTCAGAAATTAGCACTAGATCCTCGACGACAGGGACTGCGACTTCCTCATATTTGCAAGCAAGGAGCATAGCTGTCACTCCAACTAGCTGCAACTTCTTCCTTGGCACAACTTGTTTTTCCAAGAATCTGTCTACTATGTTAACAGTAAGAAAGAGAGTCTCATCCATCAGCTCAAACTTGTGATGGACCTGGCAAGACACCAAATAAGATATCAAATTCAAAGATTGAATCTACTAAAAGATAAGAATGGTTCTGGGTCTGCATATGCTTCTCTACCTCAATGAGCCAATCAATCAGAATTGCTCTCATCTTTTCATTTATGTCTCCTTGACTGGACATGTAATCAGGCTGCACACAACTCATTTCCTGCGTAAAGCCCCATGTTTGCAATGTAGTTAAGACTGTTGCCTGAAGTATCAGTCTAATTTGAGGATGTCAATCTAACTTATTTATTTTCTATGGAATGACAAATTTTGCTTATACAAACATATTCACGTATTACACAATCTATAGCAATCAATTCAAGATTACGCAAACAAAACGATAAAAAGAAGGTATGCAATGTCTGACACTGAAATGACAAGAGATTACCTCATTTTCTCTATAGAACTTGTACAACTCTTCGACGTACTCGGTTGCTGCAAGCGGATTCCCTGAGTCGGCACTGTCAATGTCCATCATGGACTCATCCTCATCAGTATCATTGCATTCATCCTACAAGTGCCAAATGTAACAGTAAGAGAGACCATCGGTTTTACACAGCAAGTCAACTGATCATCACACAGTATGCATACCACGGCAATATAGTCGTTCGATTCGCACGATTCCACATCGTCGTCAACTGTGCCATCGGGGATGGGGTTCTTCTGTGGATCAGTGCAGACGACCGCTGCATCAGCCACGGAAACCTGATGGTCAAGCTGTTCTTTTCGCGTCAAGGAGGCCGCGAAATTCCTGGATCACTCAGAGCGAGCGTACCATCATCAGATCAAGGCTGCAAGAAACACATCAGAGCGGGCAGCAATGGCGCACACGTCCTAACCTCGTCATAGGCCGGTGGCTCACCACCAATGCAGGCTTCTGCTCTTCCTTCCCACTCTTCCTGACAAAAGCGAAAAAACAGACCACAAAGGATTGGGATCTCGATCCAAGAAGCAGCGAAGAAAAAGACACGATCTTTTTTATCTTTTTTCACGAGATCTCCGAGATTCTCGGCGCGGGGGGAGACGGTGGTTTACTCTAGCATCGGCTTCTTGGCGATCGCGGACGGGTGCGGCGGCGCCCCGACGAGGTTGTTGATGTCCCTGAGCGGCCTCCGGTTCCCCATCTCTGCACCAACCCAGGGAGCAAGAATCAGCAGATCAGCAATCGGGGACAAAATCCAAACCAAGAACAACCCGCGCCGCCGGCCGCCGACCCACCTCCGATCCCCGGCACGGGCTTCCCCACCGCCGCCAGCCTCCGGTTCTCGCTCGCCCTATCCATCGCAGGTAAGCACGATCCACACGATCTACAGGCGGAGGAGAGCCGAGACGCCCATGGCGATGGCCTGCGTGGGATCCAAACGAACGAAGTAAACACCACCACAGCGGCGGCGTCTAATAAAAGCGACGAGGCGTACACCACCAGCAACGTCTCCCTCTCTGACTGCGTTGGGATTCGAAGAGGGAGAGAGAAATTGGGGGAAATTTGACTAAATATCGTAACCTGTTTTTGGTTTGGATTTGGTTTTGGATTTAATTTGGGGGAAAAAAAGGTAATCAGCGATGGATGGGCGACGCGTTCGTACTAGTACGAGAAAGGAGGGGGGGTTTGTCTGCGAGGTTTGAAAGGAGCGGAGCACACACAGAGGGGGGCCAACGGCTAGTGGGCCGCCCGCGCCGACGCACGCGGAATGGGAGCCATTGGATCGGGGGAACAGATCGGGCCGGCCCCGCGGTCGTAACGGTCGCCCCGCGCTTGGTTGCGTCGCCCATGTGCTTTCAAAAATCGCACGGTCGGTCCGGTGGTGCGCCATCCGACCCGGGCCGCATCGCGTCGCGTCCGTTCGGTTTGTGGGCTTTGTGGGGGTGATGTCACGCTGACCTGCGGGCCCAGGGTTGGTTTCGAGAAGCGTGGCGAACCAGCGGCACGTGGATGATGACGTGGGGACCAGCGGTGGCTAGTTGGACCAGTGGCGCGGTGCTGCTGCTAGTAGCTCTCCGCTTCACTCCAGTAGGCGAGTTCGAGTGGAAGTTTACTTTAGCTCATTTAAATTTATCCTAAAATAAGTTTTCGAGTAAATTTCACTAAACTACATATACTTTGGTCAAATTATCACAAAACTACAGATTTAAGGAGATGTATCACAAAACTACAGATTTAGCACTAAATTTCTCAGAGAACTACAGATTTAAAATGGAGTATCGCAAAACTACAGATTTAGTAACAAAATTATCACAAAACTACAGGTTTAGTGTCAATTCAATCACAAAACTTATGCATTTATAACTTAAATATAACACTAGTGCTAAGGATTTAAATTCCAATATATATAGTTTTGTGATAACTTTGTTAATAAATCTGTAGTTTTGCGATACTCCACCTTAAATCTATAGTTCTCTGAGAAATTTAGTGTTAAATCTGTAGTTTTGTGATATATCTCCTTAAATCTGTAGTTTTGTGAGAATTTGACCAAAGTATTTGTAGTTTTGTGAAATTTACTCTAAGTTTTCATTATATTGAATTTTGTAAAAGCAGTGAATAATTATTAGGAATAGATAAAACGAGAAATTGTTTTATTAGGATTTGATAAGGTATGACCGCATAAGTATTCTAGTTTTTTTTAATATTGGTATGCGAAAGAAAAACTTATTTTTGAACTAGGGGAGTACTTGAGATATTTATTATTGTTAGTATGCATCTCCAAACTCGAAAGTGCTTCAAATTTACGGGTTCATATTTTCATTTGACTTTGATCATAATAGATACTCGTATATTGCTATACTAGGTGACATGCCGTGATAAAGATGATTCATCAAGAGTTAGTTTTAGAGGAGAATTAGCGTTGGAAAGTGAGTATACTAAAGAATGGTACTCCTACTAACAAATGATATGTACTTGTGGCAAGCTTGCACTGTTTCGGGATTACTTCCTCCATCCCAAAATAAGTACAACTATGGTTTTCTGCGTCCAACTTTAACCGTTCGTCTTATTTGATTTTTTTAAAAAAAATTCAAAACATAAGTCACGATTAAAGTACTATTCATGTTTTATCATCTCATAACAACAAAAATGCTAATTATAAAATTTTTTTTAAATAAAACGGACGATCAAAATTAGACGCGGAAACTCATGGCTGCACTTATTTTGGGACGAAGGTAATATGTCAGTAAATTAATGGGGCAGACAGTGACCTGCTGCGCTGTCCCTGTCGAATTTGACTGATTGCCATCCATGGACTGGTTGATTTGAAATCCTGACAATTTTTGATGCGAGGAGCCGCATGTATCTGCCATTAAATCCATTATGAAGGACAGTCAGAGGAGCCGCATATTAGTCCTTTTGTCAACAGCTTATGTTCAAGTACTGTAGGAGTAAAAACAAGCTAGGGTTAGTAGTACTGCAGGAGTAAAACCGCAGGAAAAATACAGAAATTACATGAGTGACAGATTCAAAGAAAATTTTCTAAGAGATTTAAGTTCTTGCTAAATTTTTTCCAAATTTATATAGTATTCTCCATTCCATTAGTCAAAGGATAAGATAAAATTCAATCCTTATTTTCAAAGGTTTTCATATGAAGTATTTTTTACATAATTAAAATCCTCCACAATCCTATGTTTTTCTACAAATCAGAGGTACCCTTAGTTTTCCAGATACATGGGCAGGCTTGCCCTAATATACGTAGATTGACATCAACGGATCAATCACACAGCGTAGTTTGAGCGAAAGACAACATTTTAAAAAAAGGACTTATAGGAAAAGCTTCCAAATTTACAGTCTGGGCCTCTGGGGAAGCAAGGTGAAAGGAACATAATTTTTTTTGAAGCAAGATAGACTTGTGAATTTGACTGATCCCCGTGACGACAGGATAGAGTTCGAAAAATAGAATTAACCCAGTGGTGTTGTGCAGGGTTCGACTTACCGTCGGTAACCGCAACCGCGCGGTTACCGGCCTTACCACGGGGTACGGTAATATAAATACCACGGTAAACTCCTTAAATTCAAATAAATTTAAAAAATAATTTAAATTTTTGATAAATTTTACACGGTTTCATACGGTTTTTCGCGGTTACCGCGTGGTAACCGTGCTTACCGCCGGGGCACGATGACCCCGTCCCTAGCGGTTTGGGAAACCCTGTTGAGTGACTTGAGTCCAGTCCTAAATTGCTACCCCCATTTTGAATGGGCGATGAAGGATGAGATGAGGTGGCAATGTAACACTGGAGACAATAGTAACAGACTACGTAACACAGTTCTCCACCCATTGGTGTTTGGTTGGGATGGACCAATGCAACAAGTTTTTACACCACAGTACCATACAGCTACAGAATGTGTGAATCCACAAAAGGCTCAAACATTGTCAACTCATTCGCCGTTCTCTTGTTCTCGTTACATGAAAGCAGAGCGTCATGCTAGAATAAAGCGTCGTCACAAATGCACCGCACGAACCAACTCAAACTACTAATGCGAATAAGCCACCCCGCTGCTACCCTTTTCCGTGTGGAGACGCTATCTAATCTAGTTTTGTAAACTGAGCTTTAACTAATGCACAACCCTTTTTCCTATGAATCTAAGTATAGAATAAAATGGCTTGCACCTCTAGAAATACTGTACACTGCACTGCTACTTCGCACCAGGAGAGATGGATGACCACAGGGATGCTCTGCGAGTTTCAGAATGGCTGATTTCCATGTATCCCTATCTGGTGTACTGATGTTCAATTGGGTGAATTCTCCCGTTGTCAACTTTAATCGGACGAAGCTGAAGGTTGACTCTGTTCGAGAGGTTTCATCACCTTTGAAGGGGGGCCACACAAACTCAGAACAACCTGAAAAAAGTAATTCAAGGTATGAAAACTGTGTTTATGTTCATGTGCAGACGACAAGAGAGGACGGGTGATGATTCAGAAGCTAACCGGTAAGAAGATAAGGCCATGCAGAAAGCCTATGATGACAAGTGCTAAGTACATTTGGAAATAGTATACCTGTCATTTGGATAAACAAAGAGATCCTTTAAACTAAGCTCCAATCCGAATACAGTGCTAAGAACTGTCGGTTCAGATGTAAATACCACAAAAACTTCAGATTTTGCAAAACGTAGGACAATAACTCCAACAAGTTTGGTCAAGGTGATTCCGCTGAAATATCAAGGCGCATATGAGACCAAGATAATACAAAGCTATAAATACGGCAACCAGAATACCAGATGCAAAAATAGAATAAACTTCTTCAAATGATTGAGCTTGTGTTTTCTTGCTCGGGTCAATATTCTCTCCACAGCACAAGCAGGAACTAGATGGCTAACCTGAATACAGAAGCCCCCATCGTCGATAGAGCTTGCCTTGCACGGCTTTCTCTATTTCCAATGCCTATCTGCATCTCAAAGAATGTCATCAAGGGTTTCAGAATGACAATGGAAAAGAACAGCTAAGACAGAGAAAGACACATTTGCAGCTAAGTAGGTTTACATTCAAACCTATTTCTATGGTTCTACTTTATTGGGTAGAAGTATGAATTTAGTGCCAGGAGAATTGCTTTATCATTTTCGTAGCTCCAGTGTCATACAGACTATCAAATTGAAGTTTAAAATGGTACAAAATCGAGGTGACTAGGAGCTGAAGTCTTCAAGCTTATTACAAGTGCACACCACTAACGGTTTCTGTAGAAGTGGACTAAGTGTGGTACTTGATTCTCTCTGCCAAATCTTCCAAATACTATTTTCAAAACAAAACTAAGCACAGTAGTACTTAAAAAAAAGCATCTTGACTAAGGGCAACACTTTCCAAATAATCACAGAACTCAGACATACTAAAATATATTTTAGAACTGGAAATTCCAAATTTACAACGAACCTACCATGAAGGCATGTGTGATATGAACACAGAATTCAACAGCAATTCCTATTGACATAACAAGGTTTACAATAGAAATTGCATTGAGCTGAATGCCAAGGATAGCCATCATTCCCTGCCAATAATATGTAGGAATTTTGCTGAGCGATCATATGGAAGAAAATTGAAACTGACGTTAGTATTTTCTAATGGAGATTGCAACAGAAATAATGACATCTAAAAGTGACTATCTAGAAATGTTTTAGAAAAGACTATGAGCAGTATTGTTACTGACGTACTGTAACTCCCTAACACTTACTAGCTTTGCATATACAGGAAACCAGTAAACATAGGTCAGTAATGCAACCAAAGCAATGTAGGGTGCCTTCATGAGATTTATGGGTTCTTTTATGCATCAGCACAGTTATTCCACAATGTAGCATCAATTTAACTGGTGCATACTTTCGCTAATATATGAATGAATCTCCCTCCATCCCAAGATATAACAACTTCTAGAGTTCTTTGTCCCAAATATAACAACCTAGTACTTATAAAAGGTGACTTTTACCACTAAACTACCCATACTACCCCTACTAGCTCTTGGCTTTATTATGGCCCCAACTAGTCTGGGCCTATACCTCACCCCGAGGAGGCAACCAAGTCCTTTTACCCCTCTCCTTAAAACCCGTGCCAAAGGCTAAAACTTGCTATCTTTTGGGATGGAGGGAATATAATTTTGGTATCGATATGATCCTATTTTTAAAAGA